TTATGCATGCCACTGTACTTGTGTGAAGGTCAAAAACAGCTTGTAGGAACTGGGTCTTGGTCCCAGTAATTGAACTCAGGTCTTCAGACTGGCAACAAACACTGGTACCTGTTGGTCCATCTTGCAGCCAATTCACTTTTTAAAAAGATTTTATTTTATGAAATGAGTGTTTTCTTCAATGTGTCTATATGCTCCTAATGGCTAAGCACCCCTTCCCTGTCACTTTTTTATTTTGCTATCGGTATCGGGTCCCACTAAGTAAATAAGTCACTCAGGTTGGCCCAAAAATCACAGTAGTCAATGACCTTGAACTTGTGATCCTCCTGCCTCAGCCTCTCCAACAGGTCAGGACTAAAGCAGAAAAGAGAGCAAGCATATAGTGGCCAGGGAGGACCACTGACATTTATTTCATCAAGGAGCTGAGGGGGCAAACCACACACCAGGGAATAGAGAACTGGAGGAGAGAGCTGGGGGAGAAGATATTGGAGGGAAGGGGTTGTCCTATTGTCCTTAGAGGACTTGGCTTTTCTCCAAAAAGATCTGGGATGTCTTTTGATGGCTTGAAGAGGAGAAACATGGTCTGACTTCCAGGAAATCATCACTCAGACTGCTGTGGTGAGGAGACTGCGAGGGGCCAGGGCAGAAGCAGACACTTAGGGGGCTATGGCAGTGACCTCTTCAAGCTATAGATGGCGGGGACCAGGGTGCAGAAGAGGTCCAGGGACATGCTCCCTCCTTGGGTGTATTTCGGATGCAGATCAGAACCAAGTCCATGTGAACGTCAAAGCACAAGTCCTAAAATAAACTGATAAACTGAGACTTCATGAATATCCAAAACTCCATGCTTCAAGAGACACCATACAGAAGATGAAAAAGAGAAGCCACAGAATCAGAGACAATATTTATAAAGGCTGCATCTGATAAAGGATTTGAATCTAGAATATACAAAGAACTCTTGCAACTCAATAATAACAATTCAAACAACCCAATTTAAAATCAGACAAAAGCTCTGAATGATGCTCCCATGTATATATGAACACACCTAATAAGCACATAAAAGGTGCTCTACTTCATTAGCAGAAAATGCATCAGGAAAACGCAAATTATGACCACAACATGATACTACTTCAAGTCTACTAGAATGGCTATAATCAGAAAGACAAACAATGCCAAATGTTGGCAAGGGTGTGCAGAATGGGCATCCTCATATGCTGTTAATGGGAATGAACATTTCTGAAAACAGTTTTTGCAGTTTCTTCAAAAGATAAACACAAATTTCCTATACAACCCAGCAATTATTCCACTCTAGTTATCTACCCAAGAGAAATGCAAACAGACAGTCACACAAAGGCTTGTGCAAAAATGTTCATAGCAGCCCTATTCATAACAGCCCCAAAGTGGAGACAATCCAGATGTCAATCAATACCACAATGGGATGCTATTCAGCAGCAGAAAGGAAGGAAACACTGATGCAAGTGCAACATGGGTGACTCTCCAAAAGACATTATGCCCAGTGAAAGAAGCCAGACACAAAGGACCGACTGCACACTGTATGGCTCTATTTACAGGAAACATCCAGAAGAGGCAAATCTACATGGGAACTGGTTCCCTCAGCTGGGGAGGGAGCTCAGATCAGCTGTAAATAGGCACTAGAAATGATGGAGGCTCTTACTGAAGGGATAAAAACGCTTCAAAATTAAGACAAGGTATTTCAGTAACTATATTTTTAAGATTTATCATTTTAAGTTATGCATATGCATATGTGTGCATGCATGCATTGTGTGTGTGCGGACATGTGCATAAGAGTGCAACTGCTGGTGGAAGCTATAGCGTCCCCCCCCCCACTCCCAAGCTGGAATTACAGGTAGTTGTGAGACACTAGATCGGGATGTGGGGAACTGAACTCTTCTTGGGTCCATCTGCCAGAGAAGTACGTGCTCCTAATCACTAACCATCTCTCCAGCCCCAGGCAGTGGGAGCAGGAGAATCTTTTATTCAAGAATTCAAGGCTGGGCGGTGGTGGCACACACCTTTAATCCCAGCACTTCGGAGGCAGAGGCTGGTGGCTCTCAGTGAGTTCAAGGCCAGCCTGGTCTACAGAGTGAGTTCTAGGTCTAGACAGTCAGAGCTACACAGAGAAACCCTGTCTCGAAAAGCAGAAGAAAACAACAACAACAAAAGCGCTAGCAATATGGCTTAGCTGGTTAAGGTGGTTGGTGCCAAGATGGACAACCAGGTTCAATCCCCAGGACTCATATGGTGAAGGAAGCGACTGACTCTTGCAAGTCATCCTCCAACCAATAAATGAACATATTATTTTGGAGAGGTCTCACAATTAACCCTGGCTGGCCTGAAGCTAGCTCTGTAGACCAGGCTGACCTTGAACTCACAGAGATCTACCTGCTTTGCTTGGATGAAAACATGACTGGCAAGACAGAGTCTGATGCAGCCCAAGCTGGCCTGGAATTTGCTATGTAGCAAAGGATATCCCTGAACTTTTTTTTTTCCTTTAAATAGAGACAGGGTCTCTCTATTATGTGGCTCTGGCTGTCCTAGACCTCCGTATGTAGACTCACAGGGATCTACCTGTCTCTACTTCCTGAGTGCTGGGATTAAAGACAAACACCACCGTATCAGGCTATGAACCTCTGATCCTCCTGCCTCTATCCTTCAAGTGCTGAGGTTGGCAGGGTTGTACTACTATGCCCAGATATCTGTTTCTGTGTCTCTCACTGTCTCTGTCTTTCTCTCTCTCTTTTCTCTTTTCTTTCTTTTCTTTTTTTCTTTTTGAGACAGGATTTCTCTGTGTAACAGCCTTAGCTGGAACTAGTTCTATAGACCTGGCTGGCTTCGAACTCACAGAGAACTAACTGCCTGCCTCTGCTGGGATTAAAGGTATGTACCACCACCCACCACTGCCTATCTCTCTCTCTTGAGAAAGGGTCTTATTATGTGTCTCTATTTGTGTATGTCCTGAAACTCACTATTCCAGACTGACCTAAAACTCTCTTTTTTTGGGGCGGGGTGGGGGGAGTCAAGACAGGGTTTCTCTGTAGCTTTGGGGCCTGTCCTGGAACTAGCTCTTGTAGACCAGGCTGGTCTCGAACTCACATAGATCCGCCTGCCACTGCCTCCCAAATCCTGAGATTAAAGGTGTGTGCCACCACTGCCCGGCTCTTTTTTAAAACAACCTTTTTACCAAATACGTGCCAAGTTCATTGACCCATGGCATTCTATGTAGTATCTACTTTTGGTTAACATTGATAACTCTTGCCGTCTCAACTCTCCCAAATTTTTTCCCGTTGAAAATCCAGGCATGCTAATCTGTTTGGGACCTCTGGCAGTGGAACCAGGATCTATCCCTAGTGCATGAGCTGGCTTTTTGAGGCCCATTCCATATGGTGAGATGCCTTGCTCAGCCTTGATGCAAGGAGAGGGGGGAGGACTAGGTCTTGCCTCTACTGAATGTGCTAGGCTTTGTTGACTCCCATGGGAGGCCTTACCCTTTCTGAGGAGTGGATGGGGGTGGGATTGAGGGGAGGGAGCGTGAACTGTGGTTGGCATGTAAAATGAATTAAAAAAATACATGTAAATATAAGATCCAGGCATGGAGCTTGATGGTGGCAGTTCACGCCTTTAATCCCAGCACGTGGGAGGCGAGTCAGGCGGATCTCTGTGAGTTAAAGGCCTGGTCTGCAGAGCAAGTTACAGGACAGCCAGGGCTACACTGAGAAACCCTGTCTCAAAAACAAACAAAGAAAAGGAAAAGAAAATTCGGGCATGGATGAGAGGTAGTTTTAAATATTTTTTTAATCAACTTATTTAGGGTGTGTGTTTGCGGGGGGTTGTGGCAACTTGTGAATTGGGAATGTTGGTTCTCTCCTTGGTTAACTTTAGATCATAAAGTTTGTGTTCTTCCTCTCTCAGTCATCTCTCTGGACAGTGATGTGTCTTGCCGTCCCCTCACCCTCCCCCCACACAGTGTTTCTCTGTGTAGCCCTTTCTGTCCTGAACTAGCTCTTTTGTAAACCAGACTGGACTCAGACTCACAGAGATCCGCCTGACTCGGCCTCCAAAATGCTGGGATTAAAGGCGTACGCCACCTCTGCCTGGCGAGAGTTAAGTTTTGAAAACAGTTCACAATACAATTCTTCCCAGTGCTATGGGAATTTTATTCAAGTTTTATGCCTCTGTGAGTTCTTTTTCTTATCTGATCTATAAAAGTATCGTGTTAACATCTCGTTCCTTATCGTCCTTGACAATCTGGGAACTCCTTTAGGCAGTCCACAACCTCTCAGGAACCGCTCCTAACGACTTCTAGGGATCCCTTTCTAAAGTGCCTCTAATGATACCCAGAATCATCCTTTTCGCCCCAAGAGCTGCTAATAACTCCAAATCCTTTCTCAAGGGGAACCTTTTTAAGAACTCCAAGGATATCATCCTTCAGGTCTTGTCTTAATGACCCCCAAGGGTTCCTTCTTCTGGAGCAGCTCCTTAACTGCCTGCCTCACCTTGCCAGCTGGTGAAGGACTTCTGAGAACGTAGCACTTTCAGAACTGAGAGTCCTGGACAAATCCGGACAGGCTGGTCACGTTCTCGGAACTCCTTGACTTTTGAAACTTTCCCGGAGGTCCCCCATCGCCTTTACATCTTAAGCAAAGGGATTACTCCTAGAAAACAGGCTAATCCTTTCGCTAGGAACATCCTATAACCACCTGCTCGCCCTTCCCCAACCGGCCGGCCCATTTCGGGGTACTCGCCTCTTTCCACCCTGATTAGCTATGGAGGTCTGACTCAGCTTCTGATTGGCCAACTCCGGATCCAGCTCAGAAGCTCAGTGGCCGCAGTCCCGAGAGGTTTAGCGTTTTCTCCTGGCAACAGCCCGAGCAGGCTCTTATAGGCTAAACGGGCTCATAGTCACAGACGATGAGTAGCCGTAGTGAGCGCTTATTGGCTGGGTGAGGGCTTAAAGTCATCCTTGGATTGGTTGACTATGGGACTCTGTGAGGCTGCGCAGAGTCCGACTTTAAAGGAGGCGGAGCTTTGTCTTTCGCCCTCAAGAAAGACAGTGGGACCGGCGAGTGACGGCAGCAAAAGGCGAGCCTGAGCCCTGACAGGGCTTTAGGCTTTTGGTGAGAGCCATCGGGCTTTGGATCCCTTTGGGTTTGATGCTGCCACAACCGCGATCGTGATCTCCGGTGGGGGAGGGTGGCGGGGTGGGTCTTTTTCTGCTAAGTGATCGGCATGTCTCTTGACCAATAGAAAAAGGATTTTCTAAAGTGAGTTCTGTGATTGGTCGTTTCCAATCTCTAGTGGCCAATGGACGTCGGGAGAGGGGGGCGGGCCCACCGGGCCTTATTTTCTTCTTCCTGCGGTCGGCCTCCCTCGCCTAGGCGGTGGGGCCGGGAGGGGCAGTGTGTGTAAGTGGTGAGGTGCGGGGGACACTGGGAACCCGGGCTGCTTTGGGAGGGATGCCGCGGGGGTGGCTGCGGGGGCGGAGATTGCGGGAGTTTCAGGTTAGTGTTAGCAACAGCTGCCTTTACGGAGTGCTTTAAGTACCGGGCCTAGTGTCTTAGGTTTCGCTTGCATCATCTGAGTTAATCATATCGATCCTGCATGGCAGGGGTCTGGGATCCCCATTTTACAGGTGGAGAAACAGATTCATCCAGCCTACTCACACAGCCAAGGTTATGTAGTTAAAACGTGGCAGAGCCCGGATCAGCACTCGGAGTTTTTACTCTGGAGCCGACGCTCTAAGAGCCCTGGACTCTGCTTTGTTGCTGAATGCGGGTGGGAAGGTGTCCCGGACCAGATTTCCCCTGGGGAGTGTATTGCAGGAAGGGAACCGCAGCGTTAAAGAAACGAGATGATCCATTGAAATGAGCAAAGGAAATGAGTTTATTCAGCAGTTACTGAGTACCTACTTTGTGGCGTGCATTGTTCTGGGTTCTGGGCACACACACAAAGATAAACAGGGTCAGAGACGAATGAAGCACCATTAAGGCCCCCTTTGAAGCCCAGGGGAGGGGCCCCAGTCTGGTATTTATATTTTTGTAAAAAATTTCAAAAGTAGAATATTTTGAAGTTTTTCTTTTAGAGGGTAAAGTCCCTCAGGTTGAATAGGCTTCAGGTTCCTCACACTTGAATATTCTATTCTATTGCAAAGGATTTAGTTCAGGCAGGTATTAGGGCTGAGGTAGCAGACGGTGGTAGAAGGTGCCTGGGGTGGGGAGACAGGACTGTGAGCCCATTTCCTGGTATGTAAAACAGGGATAACAGTATGCCTGTCATGCAAAGTTCATGAAAAAACACCTGAGTTACCGTGGCGTTGTTTGTCTTTTCTGCTATCTCGGATGGTTTTACTCCAGCCTCCTCCCAAATCTATACTAGGTTGCCGGAAGGTTATAGGCAGTTTCCTCCCATATAGTAGGAGTGGCAGTGGCTTTGGCGAAGCAGAACTCTTGGGCTGTGGGTGAGGAGGTCCAGTAAAGGACTTACTAGTTTTGCTTCTGAACTGGCTCCTTTTAATGTGCACGGTCTTTTCCAGTTGTGATGATATGTTGTATTACCAACAATGGGAGTAGGGTCTGCCCACCTGTTTGAGGTCTTCATTCAAAAAGATGTATTCTCTCTCTACGGTTAGGAAGTTTGCTCTGTATTGCCCACTTATTGCCTGTTCAGATTTTGTCCTGGGAATCCTTCCAGTGCAGTTGAGCCAAGCTTGACTTTATTGAGTACTGCTGAAGCTGTTTAGATATTGGGAGAAAGATTTCACTGTAGTGAACAATTGCTTATGGTTTTTTTTTCTTTCACTTCGAGTCAGGGTTTCTCTGTGTAGCCTCAAACACAGAGATCCACCTGCCTCTGTCTCCACAGTGCTAGGATTAAAGGCGTGCAGTGTTCTAAACCCATAGCATACTCTTAACATCAAAGTATTTAACTGTGAAACTTTATAACTTGCAGCCCAGTTACTTTTCAGAAAAAGTAACTTAAAATCCTGTTGTGAAGCTGTGCCCTAGAAAAGAATCCAAAGGAGGCTTTTTTAGATCATGTTGTAGTTTAATGAAGGAATGATTACTGCTGGGTGGTGGTGACACAGACATTTAATCCCAGCATTTGGGAGGCAGAGTTAGTGGGTCTTTGAGTTTGAGGCCAACCTGGTCTACATATGGAGTTCCAGGACAGCCAGAGCTACACAGATAAGGGAGTAACTTAAAGCAGTCAGGGTAGAATTAAAAGGTAGGTAGGTCAGCTGTGTTTTTACATAGGAGCAATAACTGAATGGTGTTTCTTTTTTAGCTGAGACAGTGTCTACATATCAAGTGAGATCTGTATATATTCAGTTTTGATACATCAAGGTTTTGTTTGTTTGTTTTGGTTTTCTGAGACAGGGTTTCTCTGTGTTGCCCAGGCTATCCTGGAACTCACTCTGTAGACCTGGCTGGCCCCAAACTCAGCTCTACCTGCCTCTGTCTCCTGAGTTTTGGGATTAAAGGGGTGCACCACCATCACCTGGCACATCAGTTTTTTGGTTTTTTGTTTTGTTTTGTTTTTTGTGTGTGTGGGGGAGGAGCTTGGCTTGACAGAGTGTGCTTATTGTAGAAGTGACTTCCAGACTCTTGATCTCGCCTCCTCGCTAGTGCTGGGATTACAGGCTCACTTTATGGCTTCCTTGGGTTCCTTTTAACCAGAAAAGATTGTACCCCTGCTTCTAGTTCATTTAAATAACTGTGCTAGAGGCAGTTTCCTTGTTGTTTAATTTTATTCCTTTAACTACTTCAGCTTTTTTATCCCAACAAATCAACCCCCAAAAGAGGAGAAAATGGCTTCCGAATCGGAAACTTTGAACCCCAGCGCTCGAATAATGACCTTTTACCCCACCATGGAAGAGTTCCGGAACTTCAGCAGATACATTGCTTATATTGAATCCCAAGGAGCTCATCGGGCTGGGCTAGCCAAGGTAAGGAGCAGTGCACCTCACCTGCTTAGGTGGCCATTACAAGAGCGTTTCTAGTCTTTGTAGTTGGAAATTAGTTTCTGGTTTGTGCTCATTTCTCTTTCTCTGCATTGAATTAATGTTGTCCCTTCCCCTTCCCCAGTAAAGATGAAATGGGTGGCAGACACACACACACACACGCGCGTGCACACATCTATATCTATCTATCTATCTATCTATCTATCTATCTATCTATCTATCTATCTACCTATATTTAATTTTTTTCCTAAATGAAAACCAGAACTGAATTGTACTGAGTTAGGGTGTAGCTAATCCTTGCTAAGATCAGTGTGCACAGTGCACTCTTAGGGTGATACGGCAGGAGGTAAGTCCACAGCCAGTGTCTCCAGGCTTGACCTTGGGCTTCAGGCCTCTTCTGGGGCTGTGGACTGTACAGCATTTTACCTGCCACCGGTTGTTACACCACCTATCTTCTCTCATTGCAGTCTCATTGTGCACTTGGTAGAATTTGGTTTCCCATGGGGACTTGAGAATGCACTGGTCAGACCCCATAAGTCTTCTGGTCTTTGTAGTTTAGAACTGATTTCTTTATTGTACTGCTTTTCTCCCGATGCACTGAGTTAGGGCTACCCTCACCACCCCCATAAATCAGCCCTTCAAAGTTTTCTGAGTCCCCCACAGGAAAGAGATTGTATTTCTGGACGAACCCTCCAGAAACTGCTGCTAAAGTCTGAACCCAGTGAAGACGTTTTGTTCCAGGTTTGAATTCTCTCCTGTGTGTACTGAAGGTTCGGTCTAGCACCCTATACCTCTGAGCTGTCTCTGTGTAGTCCTGACTGTCCTGAAGCTCACTCTGTAGACTACCTTAGCCTCAAACTCAAAGACCTTTTGACTTCTGCCTCCAAATGTAGAGATTAAAGGCGTTGGGCCACCACGGCCAGTCCCTCACGTTGTTTTTCCAGCCCTTACTTTTCGGTATGAAAAAAAAGGAGAAAAATATATGCACAAAAACAGGACTGGCCTTGAACCATGGTGTCTTCTCTGAGACTCCTGAAAGCTTGACTCAAGTGGGCCTGGCTCCTGCAAGGTTCACAGAGTGCTTTCTGCCTGCAGGGCCCACAGTGTGGCCTTCAACACCTCTGCGGGGGAGGGTTAATAAACGTACATGCTTACTTGATTTTTTGGTAAAAGCTGTTTAGATTTTTATGATGCATATCCATTATTATTTTTTTTTTATGAAAGTCATGTTAATTACTGTTTTCTTGGTTGAGACAGGGTCTTCCTGGTAGCATAGTCTAGCTTAGTGTGGACTAGGTAGTTACGCTGGTCTCAAACAGGAGACAGCCTGGAGTACTATGCTGGCAGGCATTGGCCAGCACACCAGCACACCTGCTTCGGTGGCTTTGTTGCTAAAGAGCCCTGGGCTGTTCAGGAATCAATTCTTCAACCTGATAAGGTACATAGGTTTACAAGTAATGTTTTGCTTAGATTAATATATATATATGTATGTATACATACACACATATATTATATCATATATAAATATCATATTTTATATATTGTAAATAATACACATAAATATTATAGATTATATTATGTAAGTAGTATATTATAATATATATAATATAAATATATATGAGATACATTACTATAATATGGAATATATGATATACATATAAGCAAAATATATGCTATATGATATAATGTATGTGTATGTAATGTAATATATTATTTTTCTTAGATTATTAATGAGTTAGATTCTAGGTGGTCAGTGTTAGCTTGACAGTGTGATTTCCTGGGTTTGGAGAAACAGAAAATTACGTCAGAGTTACTTTCTGGTAAAATGGATGGCTGGTTTGGATGGTGGCTTATATTCTGGATCCTGGCTTGCTAGGTTCTCATCTGCCTCCATCTCTGTGTTCCCTATAGGTCGTTCCTCCCAAGGAGTGGAAGCCACGAACATCCTATGACGATATTGATGACCTCGTCATCCCTGCACCCATCCAGCAGCTGGTGACTGGTCAGTCTGGACTCTTCACTCAGTACAACATACAGAAAAAAGCCATGACTGTTCGTGAGTTCCGAAAGATCGCCAATAGTGATAAGTGAGTGGCAATACCTTTTGCTTTTGTTTTGTTTTTCATTTTCTGCTTTGCTTTTGAGACACATTTTGCTGTGTCGCCTAGGCTGCCTCATCCTCCAAGCACAGCACTTAGAGGCATGTGCTTTAGGCTCAGTAAGTAGAAATACTTTCCGTCTTAACGTCTAGACCTAGAATTGCTTCTTTTTTAAAAGAATGTAAATCAATCAGCCTTCCTTCCTTCCTTCCTTCCTTCCTTCCTTTCTTTCTGTTCTGTTCTGTTCTGTTCTGTTCTGTTCTGTTCTCTCTCTCTCTCTCTCTCTCTCTGTTCTTCGGGACAGGGCTTCTTTGTGGACTAGTCCTAGCTGTCCTAGAACTCGCTTTGCTGGTTTTGAACTCAGTGAAATCCACTTGCCTTTGCCTCCCAACTGCTGGGATAAAAGGTGTGTCCTGGTAACTTTATTTAATTTTGAGGTAGAGTATCAGTGTGTAGCCCTGACTGACTAGCCTGGAACTGGATATATAAAGCAGGCTGACTTTGAACTCAGAAAGATTCTCTGCTGCTGCCCCTGTGCCCTAGGATTAAAGGTGCACCATCACACCTGTCTGTTTTTACTTTATTTATGGGCAAGTATGTGTAGGCCTAGGCATGCCACACGTGCATACAGAGGCCAGAGCACTACTTTCAGGAGTCAGTTCTCGCCGTCCACCTTTACATGGGTTATGGGAGTCATAACTCAGACCATCAGGCGTGTCAAAAAGTACTTCTGCCTGCTTAGCTGTCTCTCTGATCCCAGGATTGCTTCCTCATAACTTAGCAAGGGTGCTGCTATGTTACTGAGGAATGCTTCCTTTGGGTCAGGCATCAGTTTCTTTTTCTGCTCTTTTCTTTTTTTTGAGATGGTTTCTCTGTTTAGTCCTGGCTGGCCTGGAACTCACTCTGTAAGTAGACCAGGCTGGCCTTGAACCTGGAGATCCACCCTCTTGTCTCCCGACTGCTGGGATTAAGGGTGTGTGACACCACCTGGTATTTATTTATTTATTGGCCTTTTTGCTCCTTTTATGGAAGAATTTCCTCCTCAAGGTGCTATGTTACAATCTAAACCTCTCTGCATTCTTTACTTTTTAAACATTTTATTTATTTACTTTAATTTTTTATTTTATTTTTTTTTGAGACAGGTTAGCTTCTAGTTCATCGTGTAGCTGAGGATAATCTCCTCAGCCTTCCGCCTTTACTTCCAGGTGCTGAGATTACAGATTAAACTTGTTCATAACAGGGTTTCACTATGTAGTCCTGGCTGTCCTGGAATTCTCTCTGTAGACCAGGCTGGTCTCACACTCACAGAGATCCACCTGTCTCTGCTTTCTGAGTGCTGGGATTGAAGGTGTGCGCCACCATTGCTCTGTTGTCCTTGTTCTTAAAAAAGGCTTTTTAAAAGTATGCACTTATTGTGGGACTATGTGAGCATTCATGCCCTGGCACTTGTGTGGAAATCAAAAGAACAACTGTGGGAGTCACTACTCTCTTTCTGCCAAATGGGTCCCAGAGATCAAACTCAGGTCACCGAATCTAGAGGTAGTTCCTTTACCTAGTAAAACATCTTGCTGGCCCTTTTTATATAAAGCCCTTCTGTTTTCTCATCACTAATATAAGGCTTTTTTTTAAAAAAAATTTTTATTCTAGTGTGTGGGTATTTTGTTTACATGTTTGTCCGGGTACCACTTGCCTGCCTTGTGTGTATGGAAGCCAGAAGAGGACATTCGATTCCCTGGAACTGGAGTTACAGATAGTTGTGAGCGTCATTCAAGTGCTGGGAACTGACCCTGGGTCCTTTGCAGGAGCCCCAAGTGCTCTTAATCACTGAACCATTTCTCCAGTTCCAGTAATTTTTTTTTTTTTTTAAAGATTTTATTTAAGCCAGGCGTGGTAGTTCACGCCTTCAATGCCAGCACTCAGGAGGCAGATTGAAGCCAGCCTGGTCTCAAAAAACCCAAAAAAATCCAAAAGACTTATTTTAGTGTACCAGCATGGTGGTGCATGACTTTAATCATGCTACTTGGGAGGCAGACGTGGGCAGATCTCGGAATTTGAGGTCACACTGGTCTATATAGAAAGTTTAAGCCCACAAGGGCTGTATGTCTCCCAAGTCTAAAAAACAAAAGAGTTATTTTTATTTGTTTGTGTGTTTCTGTATCTACACTAGCATGTAGGTACCCTGCAAAACAGGGTGTCAGACACATCCTGTGGAACTGGAGAATCAGGCAGTTGGAGGGTACCCAGTATGGGTGCTGGGAAGCGACCTCAAGGCCTCAGCGAGATCCGTGAGTGCTCTCAGCTGCTGAGTCATCTCTCTGCCCTAGTTACAGTAGGGGTTTGTTTATTTATTTAAATTGATTTATTTTTGTTTTATCTGCATTGGTGTATTGCTTCCATCTATGTCTGTATGAGGGTGTCAGATCTTGGAGTTACAGACTATTGTGAGCTGCCATGTGGCTACTAGGAACTGAACCCAAGTCCCCTGGACAAGTAGTCAATGCTCTTACCTGCTGAGGCAACTCTTCAGCCCCCTTTTTTTGTTTTTGTTTTTTTTTTTTGTTTTGCTTTTTATTTATTTATTTTGGTTTTTTGAGACAAGGTTTCTGTGTGTCGCTTTGTTGCCTGACCTGGAACTAGCTCTTGTAGACCAGGCTGGTCTCAAACTCACAGAGATTCTCCTGCCTCTGCCTCCCAAGTGCTGAAATTAAAGGCGCATGCCACCACTGCCCGACTGTTTTTGCTTTTTAATTAAAAACATTTTTGTTGGTGCTGATGATGGAACCCAGGACCTCTTAGACAGACACGCAGTCTGCGGCCCCAGCCTCAGCAGCACGGCACGGGTTTGACTCTGGAGGATTGCACAGCTGTAGAGCAGAAGGTCGGAGGTGAGGCAGAAAGGACCTTCTCCTGTGTCTGTCCATGCCACCTGCTTGCTCCCCTTGTGTCTGTCTTGTGTAGTCGGCGCCGTCTTACCACTGTGCGGGCACTCACAAGAGAGGAGTGAATAATTGCCAAGCTGGTGCTATTTGCTAGCCTCCCCGATTGCTTTCGCCATCTTCTCTTCCTGGGGTCTGTGCTTCCTCTGTTGTTTGCAGTCCTTCTTTCCCTCGCCTCTTACTAAGATTCAGCTCTAGGTCTCACTCACAGAGGAGTTGTTTCCAGCATCGCACTCTGCTCTCCCAGTCGCTGCTCTTGAGCTTCTCACTCGCCATGTTGCTCCTCAACCCTGCGGATCCACAGGGAATCCCTTCTTTTCCCTTTTTTCATTCCCCGAGTCTTGCTGGTCCACACATCTTGATTTCAGCCTGGCAGTTGGAGCCACACCTCTGCTGAGCAAGCCCAGTTGTAGGTCTTGAGTTTTCCGTCTGCACACCTGGGCACCTGCGGGACACCTTATCATCGCCTCCCTCCTACCTCAGGCGTCCTTTGCTCTTTGCGTTTTCGTTTCTACCTGTCACGGTTCTAATTGAGATCTTATGGGTTTGTTGATAACTCTTAAAACATCTACATTACTGGCCAGCTTTTTGGCCAAGGAGTGAATTTATGCAGAAGTCCGTTGAAGCAGTGTGTCGTGCTGTGAACGAAAGTCTGAGCCGTCCTTCATGGCTACTCTCAGCTGTGCCCTGGGCCGAGCTTCCCAGCTTGCTTTCCACACGGGGCCCATCCAGGCTTCATGCTCCTCTGTCTTCTCTTTTTTTATTATTATTAAAAAAAAGCTTTCCTGTGTGTATGGATGTGTTGCATGATGTATGTATGTGCACCGAATACATGTCCAGTGCCTGTGGGGGCCAGAAGAGGACATTGGAATGCTTGGGACTAGAGCTCCACAGGGTGTTGAGCCACCATGTGGGTGCTGGGAATCCCATCTGGACCCTCTAGAAGAGCAGCCAATGCTCTTAATTGCTGAGCCATGTCTCCAACCTCCTGTCATCTCTGCTTGTCAACACATGATAGTTTTTTTTCTTCTTCATGTAATTTTATGTTAAATTACCCAGCTTATCACCTTCACCCCAGTGGTTTTTTTTTTTTTTAAATTTGCTTTTTTGTATGTGTTGCTAAGGCCTCACGCAAGCTTTTACACACTGAGCTACATTCCCACCCTCTACCCTAATACTTTAAAAGCTTTTTTGTCCCTTGTTTCTGTTGTTGGTAAGTAGTTTTTCTTGAGTACTGTTTTCAGTGCTCCGATTATCTGTTCCGCGTTAGCCTCTGAGAGAACGCTGGGACGACGGCAGTGACAGCAGCTGTTCGGAGCAGCGTCATTGCCGTTGGCGCATTCACACTGGTGCTCGCTATATCCAGGAGGACTTGGTGTGTGGGTGTGGCTGGATTTTTGTCTTTGGTTTTTGTTTTGTAAGCTCGTCCTCCCCCGTCACTCCAGAATCTGCAGGGTGCAGCACCCTCTCCAGAGAGGTGAGGATATTGTGTTCCTAAGGGAGAGTGGGTCCACACCTGTGCCTGTGACCTTCCCTCAGCTTCCTCCTGTCCAGGGCCTCCAGAGGGAAATGCTGTGTATTGGATCTGCCTGGAGTTCACTGTAACCCAGGTAACCCAAGCTGGCTCTGACTCACGTGGTGATTCTGTCTGATCTCCTGAGTGTGCAAATGGGGCTCAATTAGGGTTTAGAAGGCCAAGATTATTTGCTTGTTTGTTTTATAAAGCAGAACAAATACAGATCTATTAAAGAAAAGTGGGGAGAAAACTCTTTAGAGGGAGAGGTTCAGGGAGAAATATGATTTTAAATTTTAAACTTATTATTTTATATATAAGGGTGTTTGCCGGCATATTTGCTTGTTTACCAAGTAGTAGCCAAGGCCAGAAGAGGGCGTCAGATTCCATGGAAGCGGAGTTAGAGAGGGCTGTGGGCTACCATGTGGTGCTGGGAGCCAAAGGAGGAGCAGCCAGTGCTCTTTTTTTTTTTTTTTTTTTTTTTTTTTTTTTTGGTTTTTCAAGACAGGGTTTCTCTGTAGCTTTGGAGACTGTCCTGGAACTAGCTCTGTAGACCAGGATGGTCTCGAACTTGAGCTCCCGGAGATCTGCTTGCCTTTGCCTCCCGAGTGCTGTGATTAAAAGTGTGTGCCACCACCACTTAGCAGTAGTACATGTTCTTAACTGCTGAGCTGTCTCTTCAGCCCTGTTTTGTGTGTGTGTGTGTGTGTGTGTGTGAGAGAGAGAGAGAGAGAGAGACAGACAGACAGACAGACAGACAGACGGTGTCTCATGTAACAGGATGACCTTGTTCTGATTCTTCGCATCTACATCTCAAGTCCTGAGGTTGCAGGCATGTACCACCATGCTAGAGTCTTGTGTGTGCTAGGCAAACACTGTGACCAACTGAGACACGTTCCTAGCCTCGTGTGTTGTTCTTTTGAAATGACCCTGGACTAGTGGTTTGTATCTTACAGTTCCTAATACCTGATAACCTTATCCTTCCACTGTCCTGGTTAACTTTCTGTTGCTGTGATAAAGAACTGTCACCATGGCATCTTATAAAAGAGGTGTTTAATTGGGCTTATGGTTTCGAAGGTTAGAGTTCAGGATGGCAGAGCGAAGGCATGGTGGCAGGGACAGCTGGGAATGAACATTTCAGATGGCAAGAGGGGGTCAGAGAGCACACTGGGGGATGGACAGAAGCTTTGGAGGCTCCCAACTGTCCCCCAGGGACACACCTCCTCCAGTAAGGCCATACTTTGTGATCCTTCCCAGTTCTACCAACTGGGGCCAAATAATTCAAATATGGGCTTGTGGGGGCCATCCTCATTCAAACCTCCACATCTGTAAGTGATTAACATCTTTATTTTATTTTTGGAAGGTACTGTACCCCACGATATAGTGAATTTGAAGAACTTGAGCGTAAATACTGGAAAAACCTCACATTCAATCCCCCCATCTATGGTGCAGATGTGAATGGTACTCTCTATGAAAAGGTGAGACCACGAAGAACCCTATAGTGTTTGCCTGACACACAGTAGGTACCTTGACTGGCACACAGTAGGTGCTTAGCTGCTGGTGAAAGGGCAGATGAACAAGCCAATGCTCCTCCACTATCTTGCTGTCCTCTGAGCCTCCTTGCAGTTCTGCATGTGACTGACTTTTGCAGTCTCGCACTCTGCATGTGAATTGGGTGCTGTGGTGTCTTTTTCAAGGCTTGTGCATAGTCCGTGGGTGGTAGCTGATGAGTTCTTGAAAGGGGGTAGATCATAGAAAATGAGGCTTTGGGAGATGGAGCAGTGTGGTTTCTGCAGGAAGAAGCTCTGACTAATCAAATGATAGGGTGGGTACTGAAAAGGAGAAGTATATTTGGATCTCAGAGCTCTCCGGTGAGATTCTCTAACAGGAGCTATTTTAACCGCTTTTCCTGGCTTGGTGTGTAGTGCTTTTTTGGGCTAACAAATTGCCTTACTATGGTAGAAGGGGGACTGTTTGGGTCTGTCTTTGGGAGAATAAAAAAGCCTATGATGCTTTTCAGGGATTATCTCAGATTGACTTTAATACTAAGTTTGTTGATGTCAGTGTGAATGGTGGGGAGTCACTTGTGGCAGGTGACAGATGGTGAAGGGACAGGTCCAGAGGGAAGTAGGTGCCAAGGTCCACATAGAAGGACACATGGGGGGTGGAGAGCGGAGAAGGTGTTGGCTGCAGGGTGCAGCAATCCAGAACCAGCTTAGAAGAGGGGCTCCGAGATGCCCATAGGATGTAGGGAAAGGATGTGGTCAGGGGTGACTTTGAGAGTTGCTCGGTTCTCTCCCACAATGTGGGTTCTGAGCATTGACCTCAGGCCATTAGGCTTGATGGCCTTTTTGCTGGCCCTTAACTACTTTTAAAATTTACTTCATATTTTTTCAACTTCCGTTTTTTATTTTCTAATTTTACTGACAAACCTCCCACCCATCCATCTATTCATCATCCTTCCCTCCCACCTTTTTTTTTTGAGACAGGGTCTAACTATGTATACCGGCTGGTCTCAAACTCATAGAGATCCCCGGTGGTTTTGATGTGCTACATTTTAGTCAGCAGTAGCAGCTCACCTGAGGCCCCCACATTTAAATGTGTGTCCTGGGCTGCTCTCTCCTTGACAGCATGTTGATGAGTGGAATATTGGCCGGCTGAAGACCATCCTGGACCTGGTGGAAAAGGAGAGCGGCATCACCATTGAGGGCGTGAACACCCCATACCTGTACTTTGGCATGTGGAAGACATCGTTCGCCTGGCATACGGAAGACATGGACTTGTACAGCATCAACTACCTGCATTTTGGAGAGCCCAAGTCTTGGTAAAAAAAAATCAGCCTGTAGTTAAGGCCCCCTTCCGTTAGCACAGGCCTGCTGACTTTTCTTTTGTTTTTTAATATAATATATTTGTTTATTTTATATGCATTGGTGTTTTGCCATGGGTGTTAGCACTGGAGTTACAGTTGTGAGCTGCCATGTGGGTGCTGGGAGTTGAACCAGGGTCTTCTCAAAGAGCAGCCAATGCTCTTAACCACTGAGCCATCTATCTCTCCAGCCCCGCCTGCTGGCTTTTCATATACATGAAGTGTAGATTCTGGGTACCAGCTTTGGGGTGGAGCTGGCATTCTGCATTGAGTTATACTTTGGGGGTACTTTGAAAGCCCAAAATAAGTAGCAAGTTCTGTTTTTGTTGTTCTTTATTGTTTGAGACAGGGTCTCTACCCTGTAGCCTATGTTGGCCTTAAACTTGGCTTAAACTTAGCTTCCCAAGTTGCTGAAATTAATAGGCACATGCCTCCATGCTGGCTGAATAGAGGGGTTTGGGAACCAGTGCTTAGATCCGTGCTGAACCATGCTTCTTATGGTGGTGGAGCTGCTCGGAGTCATGGGGCTCTTCAGGCTTGCTGCTGTTTTCTGATTCTTCTCATTGACCTGAGGCGTTTTAGAATTTTTTCTTTTTTTGCTTTTTGAGATGGTTTCTTTATGTAGCGTAGCCATTGTTGACCTGGAACTCTGTAGATTAGTCTGGCCTTGAACTCAAAAAATCCACCTGTTTCTGCCTTCCAAGGACTGGGATCCAAGGCCTGCACCACTGTGTCCAGTTCCTGGGGAATTTGTTAAATTTACCCTTCACGTGTTAGGAAGATTTCTTTGCTGCTGGAAAAGTGATTTGGTGTGCAGCAAACGAAGCTGTGCTGCGCGTGTTCCTGCTTTCCACATGTTAGGGGACATTAGCTGGCTCCGTGTCCTCTGTGTGCTGGCGTGTCTCTCACTCTTGGCCTTTTAGTGGAGGCTCGGCCTGTGACAGCTGTGCTGCTCGCGTGGGGTCCTCAGCCCGCAGATAGGCTAGGTAGGACACCCCAAAGCAGAAACGTGACAGGGTGATGAAGGAAAAGCCCCAGGAAGGTCCGCAGGAGGACACACAGGCGGGCTGGGGACAGAGAAGGCTTTAGAATATGATACCTGGAAAGAAGGAGGGCAGAGCTGGGTGGAATGGAGGAGGTCGGCATAGCAGTGGGGATGGGAACACAGGCTTGACCTGCCCGTGCCGAGCTCTTGGATTGACAGAGGCCTTGTGTGCTTAGAAGTCCATTGGTGCTGTGTCCGGGAGACAGTCCTGGGTCAGTGCTGCCTTCCAGTGCCAGGACCATACTTTGGTACACAGTGTGAAGGTTAGAACAAGGTGACAGAATAGAAAGTCCAGCAGTTTCGTAGAAGTTTTAAATAGTCTCATTTGTTTTTATTTCCTTCGTTTTTCCATAAAGCATACCTCTTGGGATGTCTGGGGACCACATTACATGGAGAAGTAATTAACCATTGGCTAATCATTACAGCTTTTATGGTAGGAAAAATTGGTTCATCTGCAGTATGGGGCCAAGTCCTTGGTCGCCATGTTTCCCACTCCTCCAGCCTGTCCATTGGGCTTTTCCAGGAGCATTGTGGAAACCCTCACAGTAATGTAATGCCTCCTCCCCAACATGCAGGCAACAGCTTTATTATAGGAGGACCTTAGTAAGGAGAGACTTAGCGTCCTGGGAGCTCTTATTCAGTGCATGTCTTGCTGAGTGCCCGAATACAGAAGAAGTGAATTCTTACTTTGTGTAGCTCTCTACTCCTTTGTCTTAAACCAAATACTTCATTTCCAAAATGTCCCTTCCCAATATAGTGCAAACTGACCTTGAATTCTTTATCTTCCTGTCTCCGTCTTTCTAGTTTTGCTTTGCTCAAAGTGTTCTTAGGAAATACATTTTAGGCCCAGTATGGTGGAGCACACCTTTATCCAGTACTAGGGAGGCAGAGACTGGCAGGTCTCTGAATTTGAGGCTAGCCTGGTCTACATATTGAGTTCCAGGCAAGAGAGAGCTGCATAGTGAGATCCTGTCTCAGCCACTCTCCCCCAAAAAAACCTATTTTTAGCTGACACATAGTGATTGTACATATTTATGGGCTATCGTAGCATATTTCGGTACATGTACGCGATGTATAGCAGTCAGGTTGGGTGTTTGGCATACCCATTACCTCAAACACTTGTTTTTCTTTGGACTGGGAACCCTCAGGATCTTGTGTTTCCTTTGAGGTGTTTGTGAGTGAGAGCAAGTCCCTCACCTCCTTCCCTTGTCTTCTGCTGGTGTCTGATGTTATCATGTGATTGCAGGTATTCTGTTCCACCTGAGCATGGGAAACGCCTGGAACGTCTTGCCAAAGGTACTGCATCCCCTACAGATACAGGATTAGCCTTCTCCAGTCTAGCCCTGAAGCGTCCCTTCTCTGTGGTCAGATGACCTGTGACCTTTCACAGGCCTGCAGGTGGGGTGGGGTGTGTGAGCTCAGCTGCCAGATCCACCTTAGTGGAATAGGCCCAGTCTGAGCCTTTCCCAGTCTGTCTGAGGTATACTGAGGAGTACTCGGTCCTTTTCCTACTCACTCTGCCTTCATGTCCCCCAGCCTCAACCAGGAGGTTTCTTTGGTCAGATTCTCCTCCCCAAGGTCCCAGTGTGAAAGCCCAAATTGAATACTGTGTTGTGCTTAGGTGTAGGTGTGTGTGTATGAGAGAGAGAGAGAGAGAGATCCTGAGTAATCAAACTGTAGATGTGATGTACTGTCTTTGGGAGACTGGGGGCGCAGTCTCAGTCTCCAGGGCCTGGAGAAGCTCAGGAGTAGCTCTCATCTCTGTGTGAACTAAGATGACTTGAGTATCTGAGTGCTGCCAGAGTCTGATTACCCAGGTAACCTCCACCTGGGAGGGCGGGGCTCATCACAGGGCTCGCTCTTCTTGGAACTGGAGCGGCATTAGCACTACTTTTTTTCTTGCGAGGTCTCTGCGAGTCCCTGACTACACAGTGACAACCCCGCACCCCCAATTTTTTTGTTTTTGTTTGTTCACTATAATTTTAATTTCCTTGCTTGAGTATGCTGTATATGTGTTCGAATATTAGAGCTGGAGTTATAGGTATTTGTGAGCTGTCTGCCTTGGGTGCTGGGAACCTAACTCTACTCTGTAAGGGCAGTGAATGCTCTTAACTGCTGAGCCAGCACTCCAGCCCCTCCTCATGCACTCTAGCCCCTCTTTGCTCACTCTGACAGCTGTCCTTATCATTCCTGAGATCTGCAGATGCTGTGACTTCAGAATCCCTAGCTTGGGCAGAGCCTCCTCTTAACTCACACCCACCATCCTCTCCAACAGGCTTTTTCCCGGGAAGCGCTCAGAGCTGTGAGGCCTTTCTGCGGCACAAGATGACCCTGATTTCCCCGTTAATGCTGAAGAAGTACGGCATTCCCTTCGACAAGGTGAGCCGCCTGTGCTCTTCAGAGAGGGCCGTGGGCTGGCCCAGAAGCACCCTCTCATCTTTGTTGGGCGGAGTTTCACTCGGTCTGGTTCCCATCTCTAGGGTGGTGGCTTGTGTGCTGTCCTGCTGCCGAGGGTGGCAGCTTCCACACACGGCATTAATCGGAAGGAATGGTTGGTTGGTTAGGCTCTTCGCGTGCGTGCCGTTCAAGACCTGGCAGTATTGACTTACCTTGGTTGATTGGCTTAGTGGTGGCAAAGAAATACTCAGGAGCCCAGTTCTGGCCTCTGCCACGTGTGGTGGCTGCTTCAAATCTGCTTTTGTTCAGGTGACCCAAGAGGCTGGCGAGTTTATGATCACTTTCCCTTACGGTTACCATGCTGGCTTCAACCATGGCTTCAACTGTGCTGAGTCTACCAATTTTGCTACCCGTCGGTGGATTGAGTATGGCAAGCAAGCTGTGCTGGTAAGCCTTCTTGACTTCTACTGTAACACCATGGGCAAAAATGTCTGATTGAGGAAATTCTTCTCAAAACATTTTTTTTTTGAACTGTTGGCATCTGGAACAGTTGCTAGGAATATGTGGGAGTGTTAGCATTTTGTATCCATAAAGGCTTTTTTTGTTTGTTTGTTTCACTCTCTAGCCCTGAAACTCCCATTGTAGCCCAGGCTAGCTTCAAACTCTTGCCTCAGTCACCTGTGTATTGTTTATATATGTGTGTATGTCACCATTTGTGGTTTTTTTCTCTTTAATTAATAAAAGTTAGCTGGGTGAAGGTGGCACACGCCTTTAATCTTAGCACCTGGGAAGCAGAGGCAGGTGGATCTCTGTGAGTTCGAGGCCAGTCTGGTCTACAAGAGCTAGTTTCCAGGACAGGCTCCAAAGCTGCAGCGAAACCCTGTCTCGAAAAATCAGAAAATAAAAAATGTATTTGCTCCTATTCCGCCCTCAGCAGTGTGGCTTCAAACTCCTAATGCTTTAATCTGCATAGAGGGTTGAGGCGAGAAGGAGACGTAGTGCTCACAAGATGGCCTCACTGTTGCTTTCCTTTGGCAGTGCTCCTGCAGAAAAGATATGGTGAAGATCTCCATGGACGTGTTTGTGAGGAGGTTCCAGCCCGAGCGCTATAAGCTTTGGAAAGCTGGGAAGGACAGCACCATTATCGACCATACTCTGCCCACTCCAGAAGCTGCCGAGTTTCTGAAGGACAGTGGACTGCCCCCAAGAACTGGGGACGAGGAGTGCCCAGAGGAGGACATGGAAGGGGTCGAGCAGGGAGAGGAGGGAGATGTAAAGAGAAGGTACTGGGCAGGCTTGTGGGTGGGTGTGGGAGGAGGAGGCGGCCGCCGCAGTTTGAGTATTCTGTGCCGTTTGCACTGCATACAGGCTGGTCTTGAAAAGGTTTTGGAAGCCATAGCACTGATGACCCCAGAGCTTCCTTGTGGCGTTTGCTAAGGAATGAGGGTAGTGAGCCTGAGCAGTGCCCAGAGGCAGTTTTCCTCAGCGCCACCTAAGTGTCTTGAAAGAAACATGGTGGTAGGAGCTAGAGTCACCAGCTCGGGAATAAGGAGCAGCATCTCTTATGAGGTCTGAGTCAGGGGTCTGAGTCAGGGGACTGTACACATATGGGAAAGATGGGAGGGACATTATGGGGCTGCCTGGTCTAGGCCAGGTACCCCACCAGGTATTCTGCATGCCCCATTTCGGTCCTCATAGTAGATGTCCAAGGTGGGCAGTAGTATCTGGACTATCCAGATGATGGACAGGCTGGGAGAATGAGAGCCCATTTGCTTTGGGTTGTGTGTCGGTATGTGTGAATGCGTTGGGAGGAATAGGTGAACATATGGGCTCTAGAAGGTTTGCCTTCTCTTTGCAGCTTGGCCAAGCACCGAATAGGGACAAAGCGACACAGAGTCTGTCTTGAAATACCACAGGAGGTGAGCCAGAGTGAACTCTTCCCCAAGGAAGAGCTGAGTTCTGGACAATATGAGCTGACAGAGTGCCAGGCCACCCTCGCCCCAGTGAGACCCACCCACAGCTCCGTGCGGCAGGTTGAGGATGGCCTTCCTTTTCCAGGTGAGCTGACAGTGCTGGTTTGTCCACAGCCCTAACTGACACCTATCTATTGGAGGGTCAGTGTTGTATTGAGTTGCAGGGTCAGCAAAATGTGAGCTTCAGGTTGCTTGCAGGCTTGTACTGGAATGTGAGAAGCATTTTGCTTAGGAGCATGTAGGGTAGCCAGACAGAGGACAAGGCTCAAGGAAACGTCGAAGACCAAAGGCTTCCGTGAAGGTGATTTTAGCAATCTGAGGTGGGCAGGGGTGGCAGGGCATCTCCGTGAGGAAGAGCCAGGCCAGCCCTGGTGATGGGAAGCTCCGTCTCTGGGAGCCCTTGGTGCTTTCCTCCAAATTTGATGCTGGGTTGGGAAGGACGGATGCAGTGTGTGGCCAGGCTGGATAAGAGAGGTGGGATACCGTAGGCATGCTCTGCTTTATTTCTGTCTATTTTTAAAAACTTTAGTTATGGGGCCAAGTAATTGTAGCAGTTGAGTGGCAGGGGTAGGTGGATCTCTTGAGAGTCTGAGACCAGTCTAGTTTACATATCAAGTTCCAGGCCAGCCAGAACTACACAGTGAGAATCTGTCTCAAAAAAATGGGGGGGGGGGAAGAACAATAACAAAGGTTTGTTTATTATTACATGTGCGTTGCGTATATATGAGCTCACCTGTCTACCCGTGTGTGTGTGTGTGTGTGTGTGTGTGTGTGTGTGTGTGTGTGTGTGTTTGCGCGCACGTGCATACCATAGAGGAAATCTTGGTGGAACATGTTCCCCTTTAACCCTTATGTCAGTTCCCAGATTGAACCTAGGTTCGTGAGGCTTGTGCTTTTACCTGCTGTGCTGTCTCACTGGCTCTTAGTTGTTTTTTTCTATTTTTCATATTTTGAGGTAGACTCTATGTATCCCTGGCTGTCCTGGAACTCTCCGTGTAGCCTACAAGGTCTGACTGTCTTGCTGGTATTAAAGGCATGTCCTGCTGTACTTGGCTTATTGGTTTTTGAAGCAAGGCCTCACTGTGTAGCCCAGCCTAGCTTTGAACTGACGATTTTCTTGCCTCAGGCTTCTGAGTGTTGGGGTTATAGGCATGTGCTGCCAGGCTCGGTTTGTTTTCAGTCATTGTCTTGCTCTGTACCCTGACCCCCTCCTGCCTTTCAAATGCTAAGATTCTAGGCAAGCACCACCATGCCCAGCTTAAAAGTCTTATTTAAATATAGCTACATGCTGGAAGACTACAGTGTATTTACCAAATCAGACTGCCTGCCACTGGAGTGTTTGCTCGCTTGGAGGCTGGAGGACCCACAAGTGCTGTAGGAAACAGGTAACTTAGATAGGTACCAAGTCTGGATTTCTTAGGGACAAGCTTCTCGTGGGCTTGAAGAAATCTGCTTACTATGGTGAGGTATGTCTGGCTAGAGAGCACTGTATTACTGTGCTATGACCTGTGCTTTGGAACACGGCTGGCTCTTAGCAGATTTCTTTGCACTTTTGCAGCTGGGCTTCTGCTGTACCCACAGACCTGATGAGGAACAGCAGCAGCCCTTGCTCATAGCCCTACCATGCGTGAGTTGTAATAACTTATGGCCAGGACTTAGGTTTGAGCCCCCGACCTCACGGTGACTGGTTGGTTGTTAGAGTTTGCCGTCCTGCTTTCAAAGGACGCTGGCTCTGTCTGATGTGCACCTGTGTTTCAGATTACTCTGACCCCACTGAAGTCAAATTTGAAGAGCTGAAGAATGTCAAACTGGAAGAGGAGGATGAGGAGGACGAGCCTGAAGCAGCCGCGCTGGACCTCTCTGTGAATCCTGCATCCATAGGAGGACGCGTTGTCTTCTCGGGTTCCAAAAAGAAATCCTCTTCCAGCCTGGGCTCCAGTTCATCTCAGGATTCAGTTTCTTCAGATTCTGAAACCAGCGAGTCTGTCTCTTGCCAAGGCCAAGAGAAAACAGGAGTTCTCACTGTGCACAGCTATGCCAGAGGGGATGGCCGGACCACCACAGGAGAGCCGAGTGTGAAGAAGAAGCGCAGCGCCCCACGAAGCATCAGTGAGCAGGAGCTGGCAGAGGTACAGGCTCTGCAGTGGTGTGGGAGGCCACTGCCCTGCAAGGCATCCTATGGAGGAGGGGCCTGTGAGGGTGCAGGTGCTGCAGGTGTGTGAGAGGCTCCCTCTGTCCCATCTTGCATCTGCTGCCTGAATTGATTGTGTCAGAATGCCAGGTGATGTTCCCTGTCTTCCTTTTTCTCTGTGCTGTGTGTGACTGTTGATCCAGAGGACCCCATCTCAGCCACAGCATCAGGGACTGCGCAGTGGAAATCCTAAGCTTGGTCGGATGTGCTGATGTGCTGGGAGCCCTTCCTCTGACTCCTTGCCTAGAGCAGAAAGGTTTGAATGGCATGGTTGCAGCCCAGATGTTTGGGGTTTGAGACTAGGTGGCATCTTAGTCACTGTTTAGTGCTGTGAAGAGACACCAAGTGACCAAGGCAACTCTTTTAAGTACTTATGAAAGAACACCTTTAATTGGGACTTTCTTACAGTTCCAGAGATTTGATTCTTTATCACGACAGGAAGCATGGCAATAGGTGTGGCAGATACAGTGTTGGAAAGCAGTTGAACTTCATCCTGATCTGCAGGCAGACAGGGAGACAACTGGGTTTAACATGGGCTTTGGAAACCTCAAAGCCCCTCCAGTGACATACTTCCTCCAGGTCACACCCCTAATCCTCTCAAATATCTCCACTCCCTGTTGACCAAGCCTTCAAACTATGGGGGACATTTTTACTCAGACCACCACAGTGGCCTTTCTCACCCTGATATCCAAGGGCATTTTCATTTTAGGTGTTTTCATTACTTTGTGAAATCATTGCTAGATCTTCCTTTTGGAGACCAGAACGAATTCCCAAAGCCATATGTGGATGTGTTTGTTCAGGCCCTCTCCTAGTACCCACTGTTACCAGAAGCTATGTTTTCTTCCTTTTGTATATTGTGGCTCCTGGCAGGTCGGCCATGCTGAGAGGATTCCTATTGGCTGTAGCTGATTCACCTCTCCCAGAGAACCTCATTCCCTGGCCTCACGGCTGGTATGGCCTAGATAACAGTCGGAGTCAAGGGTGGCAGGCTGGGCCTCACAGCTGCTGGGGTCCAGATTGCAGTTAGGGTAAAGGGTGGCGAGCTTCAGCTGTAGTCCCAGCACTGGGAGGTGGAGGTAGGAGCAAGGCCTTCATGGTCATCCTTCGCGGTGAGATGCTTTTGAGACCAGCTTGGGGCTATATTAGACCCCATCTTACGAAAACAATAAAAAGGGGCTGGTGAGATTGATTAATAGGTAAAGGTTCCTGCCACTAGGCCTGATGGCCTGAATTCTGCTTTTGAGTCCACATAGTAGAAGGAGAGGTCCACCTGCTGAAGTTGTTTCTGACCTCCGCATGTGTGCTGTGGTAAAAGGACACCCGAGTGACTGCGACCCTTCCCTATACTTGTGTGTTATGGTGAGAGCTCACTGGGCAGCCTTGGCTGACCTCGAACTCACAGAGACCACCTGACTTTCTGTTCTTCATATTAAGTAACTTTTTGGGCTGGATATCTTTCTCCCTGACTTTGCTGTCACCCTTGCATGTGGACCATGTTTTTTGATCTTCCATATATGGTCCAGGTTTTCCTAGTGTTCCTTTTTGCCCCTTATCCTTTTAAAAAAAATAATTTATTTTAAATTGTGTGTATGTGTGTGATCTTTGTGGGTTTTTGTACAAGTGAGAGGCCAGAGGTGTTGGGTTGCCCTGGAGCTGGGGCACAGGGGAGTGAGCAGCCTGCCCTGGAGCTGGCTGGGTACTGAGTTTGGTCCACCCTAGCAACGGTCATTCTCTTGGCTTTTGACTCATCTCTACTGCTTTGTTCTTTCTGATAGGATTGTAAATTTTTTCTCAGGATTTATTTGGGGGGAGAGTGTTGCATGTGTATGTATATATGTGATGTGTGGGTGCCTGCATACTGACATGTGTGGGGGTCAGAGCACAACTTTGAGGAGTCTGTTCTCGACTTCCACCGTCTCGGGTAGGTTCTCTTGCTGCTGCTCTGTGTGTCTCAGGCCACGTGACCTGAGAACCTCGGAATAGCTGTCTTGCTGCCTCCCATCTTGCTGTAGGAGTGTTGTGATTACAGATGCCTGCAGATTATTGGGCTGAAACTCAGGTCGTCAGGTTTGTGTGGCCAGAGCCTTTACCTGATGAGTCTTCTCACTGGCCTTTGGATCTTGCTATTTGATGTAGCCTAGACAGGCCTTGAACTTCTCTATGTCCTGACTTTTGCTTCAGCCTCATACACATCACCCCTTCTTTTTAAAGCTAGGACAAATCTCACTAGGTTCTCACACTGTAGCCATTGTTTCAAGGTCCTCTAGCCCTGGCCTGCTGAGTGCTGGGACCACAGCTGTCACCATCTCCCATGCTTCTTGTCTTTGTTTGTTTGTTTTTAAAGGAACACTGATTTTTATTTAAAAAAATTTGTTTTGGCTGTGAGCCTAGCTACACAGCAACCCCATCTCGCAAGACAAAAACATCACAGGTTTTTTTTTCAGTTATTGATTTTGTGGGTTACTTGTACGTATTGTGGCACACAAGTGGAGGTGAGCGCACAACAGAAGGGAATTGGTTCTCTTTCTTCTTCTACTGTGTGGATCCCGAGCTCCAAACTCACAGGTTTTCTGGCTCACTGGATAGTGCCCCTACCCGCTGAGCCATTTCACGGCCCTCCCGCCTCTTGTCTTCCAGTACCCAGATAATTCTCTCCACTTCCTCTGAGTGTCAGGACTCATTTTCTGTAGACTTCCTGCATGCATCTCATAGTGATTGCAGGCTAATGAATTAATAACCGCCGTGCTTCCTTCTTGTGGTTTTGAACGCTGATCTCTGTACCCCCAATGCAGCACCCACTGCTGCTCTCTGTTTTTCAATGCAGCGCCCACAAGAGAATGCTTTTCAGCTTGGAAACCATCTAACCCATGTAGCTGCCACCTTGTTATTCTTCCTCACAAGCCCTTGGGTGCCGGTCTGCCCTGCTGTGGCACAACAGTTCACCCCGTCTGTCCTCTGCTTGCAGAATTCTGACTTCCTGGTAATCACTGTCCAAAGAGTAGCTAGCAAATATCAAAGATGTAATGGATACTAAATATTTTATGAACATCATTCAGTCTATTACTGTAAATTTTACTGGAGGTTTTTAGTGTCATTTTTATTTTTGGAGAGCCTGTAGCTAGCCAATAAATACTAGCCATCTTTTTTTCTTCCTATATTTGATATCAATTAAGTGATGGATTAAAAGAAATTGGGTTAGATGCCATTTTGTTATCCGTTAATATGATTGAACAAAGTTACTTTTTTTTAACCTGTGGGCAAATGGTCCTACTCCTCTTTTACTTTCAAATAGATGGACGACCTAGGGGTAGGCTGGCCTGGATGTCCGCGGGCCCTGGAAGGAACAAAGCATTGTCCAAGCTCCCATATGGTGAGGCTGCAGACTAGCATGTATTCCCCCTGCAGAAGGCAGATTGCAACTCACTGATGCATACTGAGCATCCATGGCATGGACAGAAGCCAAGATGCCTTTGCCATCATAATCCACGGGGTAGGGAGGCTTCTCTTTAGGAGCTTCTCAGTCCTGCTGAAAAGCCTGAGTGCTTTCAACTTCCTTTTCATTTCTTTGTGGATTCTTGTTCGTAATAATTCCTTTCTCTGCTCTGTCAGTGTGTGCTGGCAGCTTTGAGCTGCTTAAGTTCTCCAAAAAGGTCTTGTCTGACTCACCTGCTTATTTAACCGTTGTAGTCATTTGGGCCTGTGTTATGTGGGCCAGGACTGCCCTCCAGGACCTCCACCACGCCTTGAGAGGTGAATATGGACAGAGAGGAGCATGTGGTTTCAGCACTGGGTGATGGTGAGTGCTGTAGCTCCCATTGGAAGAGCTGGCAGCCTAGCTGGGCTGAAGGAGTTCAGGATGTGGAGAAGGAGACTTTCGGCTCAACCTTGAAGTTTGTCTACACCAGGTAGACAGAATGAGACTGGAGCAAGAGAGGAGAGTGTTCTTCACGGTGCTGATAGCTTACTCCAAGGTCTGTAGACTGTGCCTGGAGACTAAAACTCCATGATCTACTCAGAGGTGTACAGAGATGGAGCATGAGGGTACCTGTCATGCAGATCTGACCTCACACACCTGCCTGGCCTGCTTCATCCTGCTTTTACTGCTTTCAATCCAGATGCTATGGAACTTCTTCCTCCCTCCCTCCCTACTTCCCTCCTTTCCTCCCTCTCTCTCTCTCCCTTTAGTATTTCTCTTTCCTTTTGGGTCTCACTATGTATCACCGGCTAGCCTGGAACTCACTCTGTAGACCAGACTGTCATTGAACTCAGAGATCCACCTACCTCTGCCTCTTTGGTGCTGTTGCTGTATGTGCCTTAGTGATTATATTAGTCCTGCCCAGATAATCTAGGATAATCCACCTATCTTATATTTATAGTCATCTGATTATCAGTCTTAATTCTCCTTTGTCATATTAACATGGCATGTTCATAGGTTAGGTTGTGGGCACTCTGCTGCCACATACCTTTCTTTTAAATATTTATTTATTTATTTATTCATTTATTTATTTATTATGTATACAATATTCTGTCTGTATGTCTGCAGGCCAGAAGAGGGCATCAGACGTCATTACAGATGGTTGTGAGCCACCATGTGGTTGCCGGGAATTGAACTCAGGACCTTTGGAAGAGCAGGCAATGCTCTTAACCACTGAGCCATCTCTCCAGCCCCCTACATACCTTTTTTTTTTTTTTGAGACAGGGTTTCTCTGTGTAGCCCTGACTTTCCTGGAACTTGCTCTGTAGACCAGGCTGGTCTTGAACTTGACTGCCTCTGCCTCCCTGCTGGGATTAATGGTGTGTGTCATCACCACCCAGCAGCCACAGGTCTTACTATCTCCATTTACCGGCTTTTCCCTCTGGCTGTAGATATGCTTTGATGACCCACTAAGATCACAGAGGCCACCCCCTTCTTGGACTAATTTTATTTCTCTTGTTCCTCTCCAAGGTGGGCTGAGGCAAGATTCTTCCCTGTTCCTACTGTCTGCCGGGATGAATAGTCCACAAGTCTAGACATCCCGGTGGCCACGTGTTCTGAGTTCTCTGCTCTTGTCAGCCGTCCGAGCTCTGTGGGACTTGTTTGCAGCGCGTCTCCCGTGGAGCCTTCGTGGCTCTGTCTGCCTTGCCTTCCTGTGCTGCCTTCTCTTTATCCTACTGCCTAAGCCTGCTCCTCAGTGTTCGCAGTCGCTCCCATGATTGTAGCTCTGTGGTTTTGGTTTTCATTTGAGATGCGAGTCTCACTGTGTTATCCAGGCTGACCTCTATCTTGTGGCTTTAAGTGATCCTTCTGCCTCAGTCTCCCAAGTAGGATGACAAGTGCGTACCGCAAAACATTGCCATGGTCTTAATTTTGAACCTATGCTGAGGAGTCTCAGGTGTGCAGTTTCTGGCTGACTTCTCTTCTGACTCTGGTCTGCATTTCTTAATGCCACACGTCCCATGATTAACAAGTAAGGCTCCTAGATCCGTGTTGTGGCACACTGTATGTTTAACTGTTTGTTGTCATTGTCTTTATCCAGGTGAGCCATCTTAGCTGCCTTTCACCGTGCTAATCCATTCTAGCTTCTTTCTGTTTTTGTCTGTCTGTCTGTCTTTCTTTCTTTCTTTTCTTTCCTTTCTTTCTTTCTTTGATTTATTTACTCCTGCAGGCCAGAAGAGGGCACCAGATCTCATTACAGATGGTTGTGGGCCACCATGTGGTTGCTGGTAATTGAACTCAGGACCTCTGGAAGAGCAGCCAGTGCTCTTAACCACTGAGCAGTCTCTCCATCCCCCCGGTCTAGATTCTTTACTCTGTCTGGCTTCTTTATTCTCATTGCATTTCTCCCTAGTCTTTGCCACATGTCTTCACTGAGATGTACTCAAAGTAGGAAGTTGCAGAATATTGTGAGTTTTATGATGAATTATAAATTTAATTTATAATGATTTTTGCCTTTATAGGCAATTTAAAAATGTACAGAATTAGGTCATCCACAGGAAAATAGTGTTTTAAGAAATTAACTATAATTTCTCCAAAAAAAATGATATCTGGTGCTGGAGGGATGGCTCAGTGGTTAAGAGCACTGACTGCTTTGTAGAGGAACAGGCTCATTTTCCAGCAACCACATGGTGGCTCACAATCGTTGGTACTCCAGTTCCAGAGACTCTGATGCTCTCTCCTGACCTGGGTACTGGGTAGGCACGCGGTGCACAGTCTCAAGTGCCGCAAACACTTATATACATAAAATAAATATTAAAAAATGGTGAAATCTCACCCATTTGAAAGTTGTGAATCATAGGACAGGGGACATGATTCAGTTGGTAGAGTGTGCCCACGATTCTCCCCCTTGCTCTGCTTAAATGCACACAGTGGAACGTACCTGTGTAACCCCAACACTTAGGAGGCACAGGTAGGAAGAGCAGCAATTTAAGGTTATCCTCAGCTACACAGGCATTTAATACCAGCCTGGGATAAATTAGAGCTTATGTCAAACTAAACAGAACAAACAGAACCCCCAAAAGAAGTATGTGAAGGCTGTTTGGGTGGAGGAGACAGTACCCAGTTTCCTTCCTGCTCATCCCGCGTCGGCTGTCGAGGGCCTTCCTCACAGGTACTGTTCTGTGACACGGGGTTAGGCCTGGCTGGTGCGTGCCCTGCACCATGGTGCCCATTATACACTGGACAACCGCTGCTTTGAGTACACTGTGTAGTTTGCATCTGTTTGAAGACTGATTGTGTCGGAGGTCATGCCTCCTTCCTGTATGTTCCACATACCTTCCACTCGGGGAGACTAGATCCTGCTCTGTCACCTCCTCCGTTCCCGAGAGGCCTTTGCTCGTGGAAGGTGCCCAGTCAGCAGCTGTCGAGTGAATGGTCTCAGGACACTGACCTGTCGAGAATCTTGTATTTGCAGGAACAGGCTCTGTTCTGCCTGAATGTGGCCGTTACAGAATTGTTTTCTCTTGAGATCCCATGTGCTGTTCTTAAGCCCTGAGATGCTCTGTATTCCATGGACTCAGGACGCTTCTAAAGTGACCCAGCAGTGCCCCCACCTTTTTGTAGATCTGAGGCATTAGTTCAGTCAGTGTTGGAAAGTGGCCGACTGCTGGGCCTCATTTCCTCACTTAATGGTTTTGCCAAGCCGATGTCTCATAATGTCAGTACAACCAACTTTTAAGTATGTTGATTAAAAAGAAACTCAGGGAGTAATCGTCAGTCCTGTACATCTTAGACCTAATTGTGTTTGCTCGGGCATGATGCAAATGTGGTATCAAATCAACCTTCCCTTGGCATCTAGGCCAGAGGGCAGACATGCTCTGCCTTGGCTGGTGCTCTTTGTCGGAGAAGAGGAAACTCACCTCATTCGGGTGTTAGCAGCAGTGGCCCTGAGAGTGCAGATCTCAGCAGGGTGGAGGGTGGAGCTTGAGTGGACTGCTGTCCTTGCAATGGCGTAGGAACCCTCATCCTGTTGTTTCTAGGTTCTCTATGTTCTCGGTGTGGACGGCCCTGCTGCCCAGTACATGTACCGTAACACATGCTCACCTCCCAAGGAAAGGGCACTTTGGCTCGCCCATCTGATGGCCTCAGATGTGTTTCATAGCAGGGACCTTCAAGTGTGTGTGTGTGTGTGTATGTCTGTGGGTCCTTGCTTGTCCTCCAGTTCAGACATCTGCTAAGAAGGCCAGGAAGCAAGACTTAAACAGATCTTTGCCCTAAAATTCTGAAATACACGAGTGCAGACTAGCAGACTAGTTGACAAGACACTCCGGCTTATGCTTTGCTTTTTGTTTTGTTTTGTTTTTTTTGAGACAGAATTTCTTCATGTAGCTCTGGCTGTTATGGAAATCACTTTGTAGATCAGGCTGGCCTCGAACTCACAAAGATCCACCTGTCTCTGATTCCCAAGTATTGGGATTAAAGGAGTATGCCACCACCGCCTGGCTGTGTTTTTTGAATTGCTTTAAATTTTTATTTTATTTTACACTTGTGAGTGTTTGACCTCTATATATATCTGGGCACCACATGTATACAGTGCTTGAGAGTACGGAAGAGGGTGTTGAATTCCTTGGAACTGGAGCTTAAGATAGTTGTGAGCTGCCGAGTTGGTGTCAGAAATAGAATCCAGGTCCTCTGGAAGATCAGCCAATGCTTTTAACTATTGAGCCATTTCCCCAGCCCTAAGACGGTGTGTGTGTGTTCATTCAGTTTTATATATGTTTCTTTCCTATATCCCTCCTCTCTCCTCCCCTTCCCTTTCCCCCTAGTTCTCCCTCCCTCCCTCCTGTTTTTGAGATGTTGAACTGCATATGTAGCCACTGCTGCCTCAGTCTCTGTCCTCACACTTCAGCCTCCCGAGCGGTAAGATTTACAGGTGTGTGTCATCATAACTCCCTCCGGTTTCATCAGCAAGCTCACGTCCCTTGTTTGCTCAGGTTGCGGATGAGTACATGCTTTCCCTGGAGGAGAATAGGAAGACCAAGGGTCGCCGCCAGCCCTTAAGCAAGCTCCCGCGCCATCACCCGCTCGTGCTGCAGGAGTGTGGCAGTGATGACGGTAAGTCTCGTCTCCGCTCCTCACGAGAAGGGCAGCAGTTTACCACAGTGAGCCTGGCTCTCACGGGGCATCAGAGGTCAGTGCTGAGCGAGGGCCCATGACCAGCTCTTCTCTCATGTATTCAGGCAGAGGCTAAGGACTTCCGTTTGTGCCGGTTTGTGAATGTGTTTTCTTCACTATCAGTTCAACATTGGTGGACTGTGCCACACACAGGGTAATTGTGTGTAGGTTCTTCCCCTTCTGCAGCTAGGAGGTGCAACACTGATTTTTCAGGATAAGAAATTCTGTCAATGTTGCCAAGCCCTGTGCTGAATGTGTGCATACAAAGCAGGCTAAGATTGTCCATGCCCTCAAGATGGTCACAGAGTAGTGGGGGAGACAGGTAAAGAGATCTAAAGAAAGACTCACGTCGCATGAGTACACAACAGAGAGGAGGAATGGGAGCACCAGTGCAGAGGAACTATCACCAGCTCAGCGTGGCTCAAGTTCAGGGCCATGGCTACAGATTGAAATGAGCTGGAGAAGCAAAATGGGAGTGAGGCTGGGTGTACAGCCCCACTCATGAGCCTACTCAGGCTTTTCTCACAGGCATCTAGGAGCCATGGAAGTGTGTTTCAAGCAGGGTAGCAGCACAGGCTGGCGTTAGGAGGGCTGCTCCTAGACTAGCTGGGCTAGGGTGCTGGTGGCAGAGACTGGAGAAGTGGAAGCAGAGAGAGAGAGCTGGATTGTGCAGCAGTTCATAGAGCTGTGAGGGTGAGGGACAAGGATGAGTTGATGGCCGCCTGGTGGCTTTTAGTTTTCTTTGAAAACCTTTTCTTGTGGATAGAGGATGTTGATATGGGAAGCATGGATGTGTTTTGTTGGGTTATTTTTAAATAAAGGGGTCTCATTGAGAAGGCAGAGAAGGCTGTGCAGAGGCTGGGGATAGCTGGGCAGAGGAGCCTGGGGAGGAGGCAGAAAGGGGAACTAAAGACCTATGCAAGCCAAAATGGGAAGCATGGCTCTGACCACATCTTGACAACAGCAGGGAGTGGCCATCTCGGCTGCCAGGAGCAGAGAGGGGATGCTGGTGGGCCTCAGCGGTACTGGCATCTGCACCCTTGTGGAAGAAGAGGCGCTGCTTGCACAGTGATGTTCTAGTGCTGCGCCCTCTGCTCCTCCCTTCCCTCCTCCATGTGCGGCATAGGTCATCTCATGAACAGCCTGGGCGCGGGGGCAGCCTAGAGGTCCAGGGATCAGAAGACTGGACAGACCCTGAGTGGGGTCCCAACAGTGCCCCTGAGCTTGTGCTCCAGCCCCACTGAGAGCTTCTGTCTGTTGCTTGATTTTTTTCCCTAGGTGCTTTAAAATGACACAGGTTAACTGGGTGGTGGTGCATGCCTTTAATCCCAGCACCAGGGAGGCAGAGGCAGGCAGATCTCTCCAAATTTGTGGCCAGTCTGGTCTGCAGAGCGAGTTCCAGGACAGCCAGGGCTACACAGCAAAACTGTCCCCAGAAAGAAACAAAAAACAAAAACAAACAAGCAAAACAACAACAACAAAAATACACTGTAGAAAACTGGAAAAACAGAGTTTTTAGGAGGCAAAAGATCCTTATGCCTGTCTTCCAAAGGGGGCACATGCCTACTGCGTACATGTACTCTTAGGCGCTCATAAATCATGTCTGAGTGTCTCTTTTTGAACTAATATAACTGTCAGAATCACTCTTCACTTTCTGTGATGAGCAGTGCTCAGTTACGACAAAATGAAGGGTGGAGAGGCTGTGTGGTCCCTGCATGCTAATTGTTAATAGCTATCAGAACATTTGCTGTGAGTTTGTCTGCTTTCTTTCTGCTAGTACATTATGGAGGCAGGGTGTAAGGTAGCCCAGGCTGGCTTTGAGCTGGTGATCCTCTTGCTTTTCAGTTTTCAGGTATTGGGGTTATAGGTATGTGCCGCTGTACCCTGCTCAAGCAATGTAGCTGGGGTTTTCTTTCCTGCCAGCCTGCTCCCAGATAACCACATGAAACTTGATATTAATTACAAATGTGTGACTAATAGCTCAGACTAGTTACTAACTAGCTCTTACAACTTAAATTAACCCTTATTTTTTATCTACATTCTGCCACTTGGCAGTACCTTTTTTCAGCATGACATGTTCATCTTGCTTCTTTTCGTGACTCTGACCCCTTTTTTCCCTGCACTGTTTTTGTCTAAGTCCCACCTAACCTCTGTCTGCCCAGCTGTGGGCCAGTCAGCTTCTTTACTAACCGATCACAGTGTATATATCCACACAGTGTAAAGGAAGCAGCTTTGTTAATCTGGTCATTTCATTGTTTCCTTTTGTGTTGTTTTTCAAGACAGAGTTTTGTTGTGTAGCCTTGGCTGTCCTGGAACTCGCTCTGTAGACTAGCCAAAATTCAGAGATCTTCTTGCCTCTGCCTCCCGAGTGTTGGGATTAAAGGCATGAGCCACCATTGCCTGACTGTTTCATTTAAAAAAAGAAAGAAAACCTTTTTAGGAACTAATATAGAACCTCACCCATGTTCGACAAGCATCTGCCACTGTCCTGTGTCCCTAGACTCTTTTTACTTAAGAGAAATTATTTGCTTGTGTTTATGAGTATTCTGCTTGCATGTATGTCTTTACCACGTTCATAGTGTGCTCCAAAGAAGAGGGCGTGGATCTCCTGGTACTAGCGTTGTAGAGAGTGTGAGCTGCCGTGCGGAGGCTGGTAGTGAACCTACGTTGTCTGAAAGAGCAGCCAGTGCTCTTAACTGATCCCTCTGTCCCCCTCTTTTCACTTTCTATTCTAAGACAAGGAGGTCTCACCACCTTTTCTAGACGGGCCTCGAACTTTTTTCTTTTTTTTAAATTTATTTATTATGTATACAGCATTCCTTCTATGGCCAGAAGAGGGCACCAGACCTCATTACAGATGGTTGTGAGCCACCATATGGTTGCTGGGAATTGAACTCAGGACCTTTGGAAGAGCAAGCAAGGCTTTTAGCCTCTGAGCCATCTCTCCAGCCCCCGGGCCTCGAACTTTTGGTCCTGCTGCCTCAGCCCCCAGAGTAACTGGGATTACAGGCCTACCTACCAGTCTCAGCCAGATCACCCCACATTAGGACACCAATAGCATCTCCTACAGATTGCCCCAAATAAATACACTGCTATTAATCTTGTTTTACGTCCAGGGTAGTAGTTCCCTAATAGCCGTAGTCCAGCTTTACCTTCCTTCCCTGGCTTGACCTAAGAATGTACCCAGTAGGGTTTTTCCCTTTGAAATTAATATAAGTCAAACAAAGGTTATGTATTATACTTAGAATTCTTAGTCTTGTTTGTCTAATATAGCTTCATTCCACTGTTTCTTCTTTCTTAGAAGCAGGCTTGGCTATGTAGCCAAACTGGGTTTGAATTCATGATTCTCCTGCCTCAGCCTCATCAGTGATGGAATTATGAGCCTCTCCCACCGTGCTCAGTTTTTCCCTACTTTTTTACAAAAGCATTTTTATTTGAAGTACAACATTTTCAGTGAAATGCACATGTCTTGACGGTAAGGCTCTGAGTAGCTTTACAAACGTAAACTGTTAAAATCTTGACTTCTGCAGTTTTCACTTAGCGCAGTGAGCGTTTCCCTTGGCATTCAGTGTTCACATATGCAGTGATCTGGGCCCTTTTGGGCTTTGTAAGTGGAACAGATGTCCATATGCAAAGACTGGGGCTATGAGCGTGTCTATTTCTGTCTCTTCCATACCATCTTGGTCCCTCCTGTTTGGGTCAGGCACTCTGGCTTCAGTCTGATCCGTGGGCCCTCTCGGAGGCTGATTTGCCCTGCTTGCATTGACCTCCTTACGCTACAGTGGCCCTTCTCTGGGGCTGTCCACAGTGGCGGCTGCCAGATCCCTTTAGGTGAAACACGACTGAGGTGACGGAGGCGCTGGTGTATCTACGCTGTGCTAGAGTTGCCCAGAATGAGCAGATGAGCCCCTGGTACAGGTGTACCTGCGCAGCTCCCTCTAGGCTGCTTTGCCGAGATCTCGGGGTCTCTGCGGGGAGGAGGGCTTTCGTCTTAGCTTAGTGTGACTGCAGTGGATTACAAGGACACACAGTCCCGCCTGCAGTGGCCTTGTGGCAGTACCTGATGGGTGCAGTGTCAGAGCCAAGCTGCTGTCAGACACCGAGGACTTGGCCAGGGATACACCCACAGGCTTCTCATCCCACATCCAGCAGCCGTCCCTATAGACTTGAGCCTTCACACCTGCTCATTGGAGCAGTCTCTTCTGATATTTGCTGCTGCCTCCTCCAGAGTCCTTTCCTCCTCCCAGCATTCAGAATTGCCTTCTCCCTGCTCCTTGACCTTGTGTGTTCCAGAAACTAGTGGGCTTTACACCTTATTGCTTCCATCTTGCTTTCTGAGATTTCCATTGCGTTCCATCTGTAGTGAGCCTTACTCTTCTGGGAAGATGAATACAGAGAAGGATTTTTCTTGCGCTGTGATTAAGGGTGCCTGAGTTGTGGGACACACTAAAGAGGGATGAGGAGACTTTGGACCAGCAAGTTACGAATTCAGGCTTTATAATGGTCTCTGGGATCATCGTTTCCCTCCCCACCCCCATGCTCTGGAAATGCAGTAGCAATTTTTATTTGGATTGGATTCTGCCTGTAGGCTCTTCGTTCACAAGCTCCTGGTTGAAAGGTGACATGGACATTTTATGGCCAGGAAGAAGATTCATTCTCTGAGATATTGGGGAGTCCTTCCCCAATCAGGGAGACCCCCTACCTTGGACTTTCCAGAGTGAGCTGGAAAGTCCTGACCAAGGCCGTGATGTAACATCTTTGAGGTTTTACCAGTTTTGTTTTCTCTCCCTGTTTCTCCAGCACAGCTGAAGGGAAAGCCCTGAGGGGAAAGGACATAAACATGCTGGCATTTGGGAGGCAGCAAATGGCGTAGTTCTTGGCAGACTGGTGCTTTATTCTGCTGCCCCCAGAGAGGGCAGGGTTGAATGTGACAGCTGTTATGGGGAACAGAGTGGGCCGAGTGCCTGAAACATGAGGAAGAATAGAGACCTTGAGTCAGTCTGACCAGAAGGAGCAGTACAAACAGCCACCCCCTACAAACAGCCACCCCCTACCCCGTCACCCCTGTGCACACCCCAGCCAAGTCATTCAGGCCGTAAAGGAGTCTTTTGGTAACAGCTCTGCCCTTGCCTTTTATCTATCGTCTCTAGAACCTAGAGTTTAGTTCTGCCATGGGACCAGGAGCCCTGGCTGAACCCCTCCACTCTAGGCCAAACTCCCATGTACAGGGCTGCTGTAACTTGTGTTCCCTTCTCCTCCTCTAGAGACTTCTGAACAGCTGACCCCTGAGGAAGAGGCTGAGGAGACAGAGGCTTGGGCCAAACCTCTGAGCCAGCTGTGGCAGAACCGACCCCCGAACTTTGAGGCTGAAAAGGAGTTCAATGAGCTCATGGCCCAGCAGGCTCCCCACTGTGCTGTCTGTATGATCTTCCAGACATACCACCAGGTGAGCCTGCCCTGCTGCCACCAGGCATCCCGGGCCAGCCGTCAGGAAGCTGGGCTTAATTACAGTGCAGAGCTGCGCCACTGCTGTCTTGATCCTCAGCTGTCCTCGCCATGTCAGTGCTGTGCGCGGGTCTGCCAGGCAGATAACCCCACTGTGGGAGCTTACCCTTAAGAGTGCCTTGGTCTGGTGATCCTTGCACATGGCATGAACCTCGATACTTGCAGAGCCTAATGTTTCTTGTCCTCCTGATCTGGGGCTCTTTCTGCCTGACGCTATGCAGTCCTGATCAGTTGGGGACCAAGACTGCAGTGTCTTCCCCATTTGAAGTCAACATTGGGTGAAGAGTCAGGTTCTCCTGCCATCATCTTCTTCCCTCACTGTCACAGTGAGTGCTGTTTGGCCAGAAGGCAGCTGGGGGTGGGGAGGGGCAGAGGGTTTAACACAGTGAGGGCTGGGCTCAACTGTGACCCTTCCCATGCTGGGCACTGATGACCTCACCATCGTGGGCCACTTGGGCCAGGCTCTAGAAGGACAGCGGGAATTCACAGCAGCAGGGACTGCTTAGATGGCCCTACACAGGGTGGCAGTAGGTTAGCAGCTCAAGTGGCACAGCTGCCCTGAGCTTGGCAAGGCCCCAGGCTCATGCTTGCAGAAGGATGGAACCTAGACCCACATACTGGATCAACAACCCACTATGTCTTTGTGTTAACAGAAAGCCACAGCAAAAGAGCTGTTTGTGCCTTTGTGAGGGACGTGACTGGCCTGATTGTTACCGTCAGCAGATCTACTAGGTGGGGGCCAGAGTTTCTTGAATGGCATAGGCTCAGAGGGTGACGTATCCAGGCTCTGTTGTTGGAATGGGGATAATGGTGCCATCCAGCGGCAGAGCCAGAGGATATTTGCTCTGCGTATAGTTTGCCAAGGGCAGCGTGTAACATAATGTTCTTCCTAGAGAGGCCCCGAGCCAGGAATCACAGGTGGGGATCCAGCCTTGTGACAGTGCTGTAGTTCAGGTGACCTGCTGACATGACCCTCAGAGGTAATCAGTGCTGGCCCATTAAGAACATGTGCTCTGGGTGCTGTCTCTGAGTGCGCGTGGTGGGGCCACCATGTGCAGCACCTGGGGACAGGCAGTGCCTTGCTGCTAATGTCTCAGTGCATTTTATTATCACTTGGTTTGGGAAGACTGGAATCCCAGGTGCCTCTTACTTGCTCCCTCTTCTCAGTTGCCCCCCAGGGGCCTTTGTTTGATGCTGCTGTGAGAAATTGAATTTGAGTCATTAGAGGTAACTTCAATTAGTAGCTTCAGGATAATGGCTGTGCACCCGGGAGCTATAGCTGCAGTCATAGCAGTAAGAGGCCCAGCTTTCTGCTGATGGAGCAGGTGGAGGGCTAGGCGCATAGGCGTGTGCTCACTGTGCGGTGCACGCTCTCTGCCTTTCACTTAGGTGGAGTTTGGAAGCTTTACTCAGACCTGTGGGAAAGCTTCGGAAGCAGCTGCTCAGACTCAGAGGACCAAGCCATTGATCCCAGAAATGTGCTTTACCACAACTGGCTGCAGCACGGACATCAACCTTTCTACCCCTTACCTGGAGGAGGATGGCACCAGCATGCTAGTGTCCTGCAAGAAGTGCAGTGTCCGGGTACATGCCAGTGAGTGCCTCTCAGTTCCTCCTCCTGTCCCAACAGCATGGCCTGCCTGCTGGAAAGTGTTGTCACCTGTTGGCCTTCCCAGCGTGCTACAGCGAAGGATGCTTATGTATCCTTGGAAAGTTGGTGACTGGTGGATGCATGAGTTTCCTTGTGGCTCCAGCATCTATTCCAAATGTCTGTCAACTTTGGAGTCCCTTGGGTTAGTCCCTGGCTACCTACTAGGGAGATGTGCTAGTGAATCCAGTCTCTGACTCTCCTGGGTTCTGGACCATATTGTATGATTGAGCCCTGGGGGCTCTGGCTCAGTTGGCAGGAATTTCTGTATGATTTACTATCTTTGGGAATGGTGTCTATGGAAGAGTATTGCTCTTCCTTGTTCTGACCCCAGCCCCTGGATTGGGTTTCATTTACTCTTCCTGGTGTTGTTTATTAGGTTGCTATGGGGTGCCCCCCACAAAGGCTTCTGAAGAATGGATGTGTTCTCGATGTTCGGCCAATGCTCTGGAGGAAGTGAGTATCCCCTACCCTTCCCATCTTCTCCAGAAGACCGGGTTGGCTTCAGGGCTAGCCTCTTTCCATGCTGGACATAATTTATGTCCACAGCAGTTAGCTTAGGATTTGGTACTTGGTGATGTCAGAGTAGATCTGGAAGCTGTTGGCTCTTGGGGGAAGACCAGGTAGCTGCACCGTGGAGGAGCCGTCATTCCCTTTGAAGAAATCAGCTCTAGATTTGGAGTCTCAGAATGAGGCTCAAATGATTCGTTATATAGTTATAGTTATGCATTATGGTGTATCTCTTACAGGGGAGCCCTGACTACAGGGCATGCATCCGAAGGCCCACCTGCCATTGCACTGCTTTCTCGTGCAGCTTAAGAGTTATCTGCAGGAAGTCTCGGGGGGCACGTTGTATGGGAATGAATTGCTGGTAACCGTTTTCCTTCTCCTTTCTGGGCAGGACTGCTGTTTATGCTCATTGCGTGGAGGGGCCCTGCAGAGAGCAAACGATGACAGGTGAGTTCTGAGGTTCATGATGCTCAGTTCTGAAGCAGCATGCATGGTGCCGTGAGGGCAGGAGCTGCTCCTCAGGGAGCGGTGAGGGCTTGTGCAGCACATGGCGTGCTCGGGCAGCACATGGCATGAGGAACAGCCTCTGGAGTAGCATCTCCAAGACTCATTCTCACAAGAAGCCCTAGACTGCCTGGCTGACTTCATTTTCCCCTCAGGGGCAGAGATGTAAGTAGCATCCTTCTTTGAGAGGCACTGGCAACAAATGCTGACAGAATTTGGCCCTGTGAGAATGATGCAGACATTTTGTGGCCTGGAAGCCAGGACACTGACCTTGTTACAGTTCAGTGTCCGGGCAGCCTGCCCTTCCTTCCTTCCTTCCTTCCTTCCTTCCTTCCTTCCTTCTTTCCTTTTTTTCCTTCCTCTTTGTCATTTTTTTGTTTTTTTCGAGACAGGGTTTCTCTGTGTATCCCTGACTGTCCTGGAACTAGCTCTGTAGACCAGGCTGGCCTCGAACTCACAGAGATCCACCTGCCTCTGCCTCACAAGTATTAGGATTAAAGGCACACGCCACTATGCCCAGCTTTCTTCCCCCTTTTAAAAACATAATTTTATGTGTATGGATGTTTTGCCTGCATGTATATCTTATCCACAGGTTTCCACAGAAGCCAGAAGAGAACTTTGGATCTCCTGGGACTAGAGTTATAAATGGTTGTAAATCACAGGGTCTCCTGAAATTTACTGTATAATCCTTGTTGATGTCTAACTGGTGATCCTCCTGCCTCAGCCTCCCATGGACTGAGATTACAGACATGTACCAAGCGCTGTCCCAAAGAGCGAGCTCTACCCAGCCAGACTTGGTGTTTGGAGGACAGGCAGATGCCCCCAAGGGGACAGTTGGACACTGAGGAGAACTTAGGCAGGCCACCCACTGTTGAATCTACAGATGTTTCTGGGCATCTCAGCAATCATACAGCTGATTCTCATTGAGTCGTATCTTTGCGCTCCATTAGATTTACCTTCTCTGAGAGTTTGCTCCTGAGGGGCTTCTATCTAGGACATTGCCCACATGGGTTCACAGCAGCTGGTGGTGAATGGCCTGCCTCTGAGTAAAATGCCACGGTGGTCCAGCCTCCCTCCCACTTTGCAGGGCTTGCATCTTGCTGCTTGCAACAGATGACTGCTTGGCTGTGCCGCACTCCTTTAAAGGCATGCTGCTGTCAGCAGTGGTCGTTGTGATTCAGGCAGGGTAGAGCTGGCTGGTAATATTCCTTATTTAGAGTGCAAAGGACTCTGCTTGAACCTCTTACCTTTGCAAAACCTTTAATCCCTGTTCTGTCCACTAAGGCCACAAAACCAGACCTGTCCGTATTCCCAGCAATAGCCCTGCCAATAGTGCACACTATTTTGTTTCCATGGTTGTTGCAGGTTTTCATACAGTTGGAGCTAAGTGGGCCTGAACCCAGGACTTCATGCATTTGACACACACGATTGATGGAATATCAGATCCAGCATGGTCTGATATTAAGAGATTCCACAATCTTAGGTTTCTCCACTTGGGACATATCTATTTCTCAAAAGGTGTCTGTGTTGGAATAGCTCTGAGCATGCTCTCTCGTTTTTGCTCTCTTGAACCCATCACAGAGTCAACTATGTCTCTGCTTATTTGCCACAGATTAGAGGGTTGATCCTGCACTGGCCATGGGCAGTGTGCATGCAGTATTGATGTGGTAAATGACGCTTTCCCTCCTGAGTCCTGGAACCTGGGTGACTGAGTGACCTTACTGGATGATAGAGGAAGGTCTGTCAGCAGGCCCCCCGCCTGTGGAAAGAGGTGACTGAGCCCTTCTTTTTTTGGCAGATGGGTCCATGTTTCATGTGCTGTGGCAATTCTAGAAGCAAGGTTTGTCAACATCGCTGAAAGAAGTCCAGTGGATGTGAGCAAAATCCCTCTGCCCCGCTTCAAGCTGGTAAGCAGGGAGGGCCTTATGGGATTTGCATAGTTCCCTGCTGATGAGTCTGGGAGGAGGTGAATGCATTTCTACTTGACTCCTGGCCTCCTTTTCCCCCTTTGTTTTGGTCAGTTTGACTCTCATCCTATGGCTAAATTACTTAATGGGGACTTACATTCAGTCTGGAGCAGGCCCTGGGTGCCTTCATGTTGTGGGAGGGGTTGGCTTGGTCATTTGGTCTTGTGCATTTGGGAGGGAAAGCAAGAAGAGGTGGGGGTGGGCTGCCGTGCACAGAACACGTGCTCTCTCCTCTGCAGAAGTGCGTCTTCTGTAAGAAACGGAGGAAAAGGAATGCTGGCTGCTGTGTGCAGTGTTCGCACGGCCGCTGCCCCACCGCCTTCCACGTGAGCTGCGCCCAGGCTGCCGGGGTGATGATGCAGCCCGATGACTGGCCTTTTGTCGTCTTTATCACCTGCTTTCGGCACAAGATCCCCAATTTGGAGGTGAGAAGGCACCGTGGTAGAGACCTCTTGACAGGTTTCAGGCTCATTTTCTCTGCATGTGGCCAGTTTATGGCGTCATCACACATCCTTGACGGAAAATGCTAGTGGGTTGGCAAATACGAGATGGCCCCTGTCTGTCGTTACTGCTTGCCTTGGCCTTCACAGTCCAGTGGCACTGAACTAACTGCTGTTTGTTGCTTTGGTTGGTCTGTTTCCTTGTGTGCTTTTCCCAGGTAAAGTCCGTGTGCGGTTCCTTACATTGTTAGTCTGAGCATCCTTTTCCTCACCCCAGGGCCAGGGACTCAGCAGCTTTGTGCCTGGTGAGAGAGGACTCTGACAATTGGACATTTTCTGCCACGTAGGAGGGAATTCCGTTCTCTCGGTGCTGACATGTGCAAGAGACATGGGGCATGAGCTCTAGGAGTCCTGAAGGGGCACGGGTGGGCACGAGAAGGTAGAGGAAGTAGTGTCTTCATGGCTTCAGAGCTGGAGTGAGTCGTGTGAGAATGGACAGTCGGTGGGGCGTGGATGGGGACAGAGGCCTAGGGAAGGGACTAGGAGGAGAGGAAGGAGAAGAAACTGCAGCTGGGATGTAAAATAAATAAGTTTTGTTTTAAAAAAAAAGAATGAACATTCGGAACTGGTTCTGGGAACCCAGCAAGTAGTCATGGGAAGTGAACAGTGCCCATTGGTGAAAATCCTGGACTGCCACATTTAAGTTTCTTTTGAATGAGGAGGCCTTCCAGAATGCCCTGATTGTAAGTCACTTGTATGCAGGTGTGCACATGCATTGTTGTGCCCATGGAAGTCAGGGCAGCTGTGGTAGTCGGTTTTCGCCCTCCACCTTGTTGAGGCCGACTTTCTCTCCTGTCTGCTGTACTGTGTACTCCGGGGTAGCTGGCCACCGAGCTTCCTGATGACTCTCCTGGCTCCACCTCTCATCTTGAAATAGGACTGCTGTGGGGGCTGGAGAGATGGCTCAGTGGTTAAGAGCATTGCCTGCTCTTCCAAAGGTCCTGAGTTCAATCCCCGGCAACCACATGGTGGCTCACAACCATCTGTAGTGAGATCTGGCGCCCTCTTCTGGCCTGCAGGCATACACACAGACAGAATATTGTATACATAATAAATAAAATATTTAAAAAAAAAAAAAGAAAAGAAATAGGACTGCTGTGATTCCAGATGCTTGTCACAGTGGCTGGCTTTTGTTTTGTCTTGTTTCGTTTTGTTTTTCTGAGACAGGGTCTTTCTATATAGCCCCGTCTGTCCTGGAATTCACTCTGTAGACCAGGCAGACCTCATAGATCTCTGACTCCCAAGGGCTACAATTAAATACGTGTGCCATTACTGCCTGCTGATTTTAACTGTGAGACCTCTATCTTCATTCAGACTTGGGTCGTAAGTGCTTTTCTGTGCTCAGCCACCTCGCCGGCCTTTAAGTATGCTCTCAGCGTCACACCAGTAGTAGTTGTTGGAGGAGAGGATGAGAATTGAAGGAGGCAGGGGAACCAGTCAGCTGAGGATCAGGGGTGGTCTGAAGTGAACACAGAAGCAGACCTTTGAACACGTCTTACCCTGAGAGCCCACGTACAACCGGTGGAGTTCACAGCTGGGTGATTGCTGTGAAGGGGTGGAGAACAGGAAGGGAGGGAGGAAAGAGGGGTGGCTGCAGGTGCCTGAGTTACTCCTCTGAGACCTCGGAAGGATGTTCATTTGGTGAAGTTGCCAGACCGTGATCGAGGGAGAGCAAGGCTGTTGTTACAGAGGGGTGAAAAGAGGAGATCAATTTTGAGGTCTGTAGCGTGTCAAGTTGAGCAGCTAGTAGGCCGCCTGGGATGGGGTGGGTATCACAGCAGCTTGCAGAGGCTAGTCCAACCCAGGGTTCTTTGGAAACTGGACTCTGGTGATCCCCAGCATGAAGAGCAGCTCATGCTGCTTCTGAGTCACTTAGAGTCCCAAGGAACAACCCCACCCTCCCCACCTAGGAAGCCAGAGTACAGCTGGGGAGGACACAGGCTCTCCACAGTGTGGCATGGTGAGTCAGGACAGAGCCAGTCCACAGTGAGGGGCTAGGGGGGTCTCTTCATGCCCTCTGAGGTTTGAGAAAAATCATCCCTGGTAGAGTTGACCTTTGTTTCACGCCGTAGCCCCTTCGTGCTTCCAGCTCGCTGTGCATCAGCTCGAACCACAAGCCTGTGGCAGTCCTCCTGCTTGTCTGGTTACTAAGATTCCAGGTTAGCCCCTTGGTGCTTTTCTCATGAAGGTGTGCACGAGACCTCAGTGAAGATGGTGGAGTGTTCTTTAACTCAAGGCTGAGGCTGTGTTGGAGTAAAGCCTGGGATAGCATCAAGCTCCAGTTGGTGGCTGGGAAACCTGAGCCTGTTCATGGAACAAGATGGCAGATTTATGATTAACTTTAGTCTGTAGTTCCTATACCTGTAGACTGCTTGGACCATGAGGGAATTCATGCTGTGTTTTTATAATCTACTCTTCCAATGTGTGTTAAACATCTGCCACATTCCAGGCTTGGCTAGAAATCTACCCAGTCCTCATGTAGCATCATGAGGTACATACGGTCATTTTGACAGAGCCACGGGAAACTAGTGATGACAGTATGTCAGAGCACAGATGGTGCCGGGGGTAAAATTAGTGCAGGGCAGAGATGTGGAAGAGTGCCTTGTGAGGAACGGCATCAGTGAGCAGACTCTGGGTATTAAGAGCCAGGGTGCTGGCGAGTGTTAGAAGGAATAGCAGTGCAAAGGCCCTGAGCTAGGAGCATGGGTAGCACTTGTTCAAGGAATAGTGAAGAAGCGTGTTTGCAGCAGTGTCTGGGTAGGGTTTGAGCCATCACATTCGGGACATCACATCAACCAAAGGGGTTGTGAAGGATGGGACTTGCAGTGCTCCCTAATAATGGGGGCAGTTTGTTTGGAGTGAAGGGCCTCTGGAAAGTTCAGTCCTTGTGCCCTACTCGTGAGGGGAGAGCTAGGGCCCAGGGCCACCAACTTCCTATAAAGTCTCTATCGAGATGCTATGACACATTCCTGAACTGTATACATTAGAATGTATGATTTGGCTGGTTTCAGAGAAATCCTGAAGGTTAGTTCCTAGAGTTTTGGATAATTTATACCATGGTATGTAGGCATGGTGAGCATGCCTGTAATCTTAGTGCTTGGGAAGCTAAGGCAGGAGATTGTTGTAGATTCGAGAACAAAACAACCAAAGAAAAAGACAGTATTATCTAGAAACCAGTTGACTTGGTGCTCAGGTGAACAGAGTTTACAGAGGAAACATGGCCCTCGCTGGAATGTTGGAAAGGCCTGTTTCAACTTCCTCTCAGTCCTGCTTTTTCCCTACTTAACCCCCTTCCCCACTGTGCCCATGCAGGGGAGCTTATCAGACCTGTCTGTGCAGTCTGTGAGTAACCCAGGCTGTTTCTTCCAGCGTGCTAAGGGGGCCTTGCTGAGCATCACGGCCGGCCAGAAGGTCATCAGCAAGCACAAGAATGGGCGTTTCTACCAGTGTGAGGTGGTCAGACTCACCACCGAGACCTTCTATGAAGTCAACTTTGATGATGGCTCCTTCAGTGACAACCTTTATCCCGAGGACATAGTGGTAATGTCTGGGAGCAGTTGGGGGCTGGGATGTCTCAGTGTTTTTAGCTGCCTTGACTATGGTCTCTTCCCCATCCCCTTTGGTTCCCAAATAGATGAAGCATTCATTCCCGGGTTCCTTTTCAAGGAAGAGTTTAAGTGCTAGGGTACTCTGCTTCCTTTCCCTAGAAGTTCATGGGAGTCAGCATTTTCTGTAGTTCTTTGAAGTATGTGTATATCTCAGACTAAATTATCCCTGATGTTATCTAGTGTAGGATGCGAGCCCGAACTCTGGAAGCAAGCCAGTTATGTGTGATACAGCTTCATTGCATAATATCTGTGATTTTTCAAAAGAATGATCCAGTTCTCTCTTCTGCCATGAGTTATTGGGATGTGTATGTTGTTTTCTCTGGGCTGTTCTTAGGTGAGGGCTCTTCTTAGGTGAGAGTTTTAGAGCTACCGAGAAACTCCTCACACCCAAGACACTAGAGCCCTACCTGGAACTGGGTCTGTGTTTCCTGGCTCTGTATTCAGTGCTGAGCTCAGGTTCCTCAGCTATTGCCCTTCCTCTTCACGTGTTGAACCTAAGCACACAGCACAGAAGAGCAAAGCCACCCCTCTGGGTGATTTGGGTCTCTCTCCATACATTTATACTACATCAGCGCTTCATTGCCAAACGGATTATTAATTAGTGTCCTATTGCTACGACAAAACATCATGACCAAGGCAACTTATAAAAGAAGGCACTTAATTTGGGGCTTATGTTTTCAGAGTCCGTGATGCAAAGACATGGCAGCAAGAACAACTGAGAGTTCACTGCTTGATCTGCACACCTGACACAGGGCGACACACACACACACACACACACACACACACACACACACACACACCATGGTTAAGAGTCTTGAAACCTTGGAGCCCTCTCCCAGAGTAATACACCTTCTCCATTTAGGCCTCATCTCCAAGCAGTTCACCAACCAAGACCATGCAATAAATGTGGGCCCAGGGGGCCATTCTCATTCAAACCACCATTTCATCACTGCTCTGAGACCTGGCCTTTTTACCCCTTTAAATTTTGTATGCACAGTGGTAACGAATGTAGTAAAATCTACGAAAGCCTCATGTCTTCGCTTTGATTTGCACACATGGCCTGCTTTCTGTACACATCATAGATTTTGCTGGAAATGTCAACACAACAAAAAGGCTAGTGGTTTGTTCTTCCCTTTCTTTCTTTCTTCCTTCCTTCCTTCCTTCCTTCCTTCCTTCCTTATTTATTTATTTTTATTTTATTTTATTTTTTTTGGTGCTGGGCATGAGGACCAAGGCATTGCTTTTTTGTTTTACACCAGGCTACACTGCTTAGCCCAAACTGGACTACCCAGGCTCCTCTACCCGTTCCCTGGCTGTGCATCACCACGCTCAGCTAGATGATTTCCCCTTCCATGTCTATCTCAAGACTATTTTCTAGAACGCACTCACATACAGTCCAAAGACTCCTCCATAGCAGATCCTGGGGAAGCTTCAGAAGCACAAATGGGAGGACACAGGGACCGTGGATTCTAGAGCCCACACCTCTTCTGTGTGCTTGCTGTGTTTGCTAAGTTTACCATACCCATTTGGTGTTCTTTGTTTTTGCTCACCTAGAAGCAGCGGGGACTGGGCAGATGAAATGAGGCCAACCCTGTGACTTATTGCCACCTTCTACATAGACAAGCTGCCTTTCCTGGGGCCCCTGAGCAGGAGCCTGTCCTGGCCCTTCCTCTCTAAGCCAGGGTCGCTCGCCACTGTGATCAGGTGGAGCCGCTCTTCACTCCTCTCTGCTCTTTCTTCAGAGTCAGGACTGTCTCCAGTTGGGGCCTCCTGCTGAAGGCGAAGTGGTTCAAGTGAGATGGACAGATGGTCAAGTCTATGGGGCTAAGTTTGTGGCCTCCCACCCCATCCAGATGTACCAGGTAGCCAAAGGTTCTTGAATGGGAACTTGAATGTGGGAGGGTACTTTATTAATTCAGCTTTTCCTCTTGGGCAGGCGGCTTGTCTTTGCTCTTGGGAACTTGCAGGTCCTAACAGTCCTCACAGATCTGGAGCTCTGCCTTGCGTCCACTGGGCTTTCAGACATGGCGGTCCTTCCTACCGTGTTCCTTCCTCTAGCTATAGGAGATTGCCACTGTGCGCACATGTCCAGCCAGACGCCGGTACCCTAGCTAAAAGGCCTTTGTTTGCTTGACAGGTGGAGTTTGAGGATGGCTCACAGCTTGTGGTTAAGAGAGACGATGTATACACACTGGATGAAGAGCTTCCCAAGAGAGTCAAGTCTAGACTGGTGAGTGTGTGCTTCCTGTGCCCTCAGCTCCTGTCTGAGCGGGGCCAACAACAAGGTAGAACCACCAACGGCCTTTTGGTGGTTATTGGTCCGAGTGGTCACAAAGTGATCATTGACTTACCTTTTCTCTTGTAGTCGGTAGCTTCAGACATGCGCTTCAATGAGATTTTCACAGAGAAGGAAGTAAAGCAAGAAAAGAAAAGGCAACGGGTCATCAATTCAAGGTACCGGGAGGATTACATCGAGCCAGCGCTATACCGGGCCATCATGGAGTAGATGCTTCCTAGATCTAAGAGGTTCCCAGCCATCAAGGCGAGAGCACTCGAGGGTTCCACAGCACAGCAGATACTTGGAACTCAGAAGTCTCAAAAAGTAAAGCTGTACAAAGAAAAGGAATGAAATGTACGACCCCATCACCTTCTCACTCCACCCTCATTGGATTCTGCCATGAAGATAAGCCTTTCAGGACACTTGGCAACAGTGCTGCTCTCCAGCTGAGGGGCTGACACTGGAATGCTGTGACTGCATCGGCCCCCCAGTCCAAACGGGGGTCAGCTGTGCCTGCTGGGCCGATTGCCCTGTTCCTGGCCCAGAATGTAGCTTCCTTCCGCCCACCTGCATCAGCAAGGCAGAGGTGCTGGTGCTTGCCCTGAGCCCCTTTTGTATTTATGTGTGTGTGCGCGTGCATGTGTGAGTGTATGTGCGTGTGTATGCTCGTGTGCTTGGTCTGGACCAGCTTCTGACAGCCCCTAGCCTTCACTTTCTTCTTTGCCTCTGCAGGGCAAACAAAATGTGAAATTGTGCCCTCAGCCGAGCTGAGTCAGGGCCTGGGGCATGGCTAGAGTGGGTACCATCTGTCCCTGCTTGGACTGGTTTCAAGAGAGTGCTGGCGAAGCTGCAGGACTGAGACACTAAGGAGCTGACCGCCACCTCTTTGTCTGCCCTTGAAGTAGAACTCAGAGGTTACCTACTATGTGCCCACAAACTTTAGGCACGGAGCCCCTGTGTCACAGTATTAGAGGGTGTGGGTGGGAACTACCTTGAAGGGAGAATTTTAATGATGGAAACAGGCAGAGCCTGGTGGGTGATTTTTGTCCAGAGGAAATTACAGTTATGCAGGGGCTATGGGATTAGGAATGAACTGGGGCCACTTGAGGCCTGGGGCAGGTGTAGCTTTGCCCTTGATCAGGGGTGGGGGGGTTGATTGAGGGTGGGGGGGTGGGACTAGAGGGCAACATTGAAGGGGTTAAACAGGTTTTTGCTCCTCTTGAATTTGTTTGCCTGGGCCCAATATTGGAGGGCTTCATACCTTGCTCTGTATACAGGAGTCAGATTTATAATACTTCCCCTTTTTTGTTACGTATGAACTCTATAAACCAAATTATTTTGAAAACTGGTGCATTACCTTGTCCTTAGCAATAAAATGTATTGAACAGAGGATGCACTGTGGTCTGCCCCACGGAGCCCAAGTGGCCCAGGGTCAGGCTGTGGAGCAGGGCCTGGGAAGCTGTTCACACAGGTGGGTGCGGTCCTTCTTTATTAGGTATCTAGGACCTGTAGCTACTGGTGCCTCTTCCTGCTTCTCCTGGAGGAGGTAATGGAAACTGTTAGGCGATGGTCTTCTCAGGAACCCCATCTGGTGGCCTCACTGTCCTGGGCCAACTCACTGCCCTTCTTGTAGAACCGGGAGTGTATGCATTAGGTACTTGGGAAGCTGGAGACTTATTTTCCCCGTGGGGTGCAGACGCTGCTCTCTGAGATGCCTGATGCCTGTAGCTGGGGAGTGTAGTTGGCCAGGTGACTAGGTGAGCCGAGCTGGGG